ATCCAAGTGGCAATTGGGAGAGCTGTACCTACTAACATGCCGAGGGGGAATTGTGGGGATATCCTGCTGACCTGTTCCTCCGTGATGGTCTTTCAGATCCGAGAGGAAACCCAGTACCAGACACCTGGCTTCCCCCTGATGCAAATGCACCCTTCTGCTCTTACTAAACCCCCTCCCCAAGTACCACAGGACCCAGCATCAACCTATGAAACTGGGCAGAGAAAGCGGCTGATCTCCTCAGTGGATGACTTCACAGAATTTGTGTAAATCCCCATGTGATCAGTGTCTGCCCTCTGGCATGCGGCGGTGGGAGGAAGAGGGGAGTGAACACTCTTGACCCTGCACACTAATTCAGCACTGCCACAGGGAGACAACTGGGACTTGGAAACCCAGTGTGGCTATGTTACCTTGGTGTGAACTAGTTACTGGACTGCCATGTGACTCGGATAGACATCATCGTCTTGACTTTGAGTCGCCCACCATCATGAAATAAGAAGGATTTTCTACCCTAGTTGGAGAATCCCAGAGTGCACCAAGCTTATACATTTGGTCTTTATTTGGCTAGAGACATTAAGTGAAGTTTAAAGGTATCCATCTCTGCTAGCAGCTTTCGTACAAAATTTAAGCATTTCCCTAAGCAGGAGCAGGCAAAACAGCAAGTCAGGATACTTGTTCTGCACTCATCACTTGGTGGGACAATGGAGAAGCAAATGGTGTTTTGACCCAACCAAATGAAAGCTTCAGTCACAGTCTCTGGACAGTTGAGATCTCCATTTCCTCTACATGGGTGGAAAAGCTCTATTAGCATTCATGAGAGTTGCATGCACTTTCAGACTAGTTCTTAACACCAGCTCTAATTATAGGAATGTCCACTAGCTTCACAAGTTACCCGTAAAAACTGCAGCTGCTTTTATTTCCAATGAGCTCTCCTTGCTTGAGGACATCTGCATGAGTTTCCCACTCCAGTGAAATTGTTCTCTCATACCTTAACAATATAAGTAGGGAGATGTCTGCAGGTCAGTGGAGGGGGAGAATGGTAATCAAAACTGGTATGGAAATCGCTGACCATGAATAAACTGGCTTGTAATGAAGACTCTGTTAAACCCAGGATTCCAAAGACAATTTGGGCCAGTTTTAGAAATTATGAGCAAAGGATTTAGCTAGAGGCCCAGACTTGCTCCTGGTGCAGTCAGTGGCAAAGCTTCCATTGACTCCAAGGGTGGCAGGATGGTCCCCAAGAATGTGGCCAGGATGCTGGGAAGTAACTTGACCCCTTTGTGCATATTCACATACTCTGCTGAAAGGCAATCTTCAGAGAGGTGAGTGGATCTAAGTAGATAGCCCAATGTGTGACCAGGGTGCACTTGACTGGTCTTAAACCTGTTCTATAATGTGGCCTTGCCAGAAATCTTCCCTCAAATGCAAAATTTTCTCTTCCCTTTTAAATGACCGGTGGCTCTGGTTGGTGGCAGCATCGCCATATTGGACTTGTCATATGGTGACAGTCCCACCTTTGGAAGCCAGCAGTTTGGATTGTTTGTAAGGGGTCCTTTTAATGCAGGTGTGTGCCAGGCCTTTCAGAAGTAGCATGTCTTGTGGTGAAAGATAACGGGACACTACACTACCATAATGGGAGAAGTTATGTAAGCTGGAACGTACTGTGACTACTTTATTGTGGCTTTTGTCACTTCTCAGTGACTGCTGTCCTCATCAAAATGAGTGATGAGCTCTTAATTTGCTAAACAAGATGCTAAACTCAGTGACTGGATAACAGCAGTTTTTAGAGACTGGGTAACTTCTGAGTAATTTGAATGGAATCCAAGGCAAAGCAATCGAAAGCTGGAATTCTTTGGGAGACTTTTTTTTGGAGGGAAAGGGGACTGTCCAGTAACTCATGTGTACGTCCTATTTTGAGTGTTTATAAATTGTAATTGAAATAAAAGTATTTGTATGGTTACTGATATGGGCAATCTCTCGTGTTGCGTATCGGAATCGCTCCGGATGAATCTGCTCCATCATTTGGCAATAAGGCCATTTCCCACTGACCTGTTTCTTCTCTCTGACCTGTGAAAGGTGTCTGGTACTAGAACCCCACTTGTCCAAAGAACAGGTACTGTATGGGCGGCAGCAGCAGGACAAACTCCCACCCTACCTTGCCAGTTAGCCTCAACCCTGATTGGGAAGGATGGCTAGGCATAAGCATAGATTAGTTCTCATGGCCCATTCAGTCCTTGGCCTCTCAAGACTGTCTTTAACGAGGCCAGTGGTGAAGTGTAGACCCGTGTCTGAGCAGCACTGAACTGAGAACCTATGGACTCCGTTCCCAGAAGCACCACTTTGTAAAGTGTTTGGGTGCTGCTACCTGGGGCAGAAGTAAGATGCTGACTCCCCTCCTGTGAATTTTTCAGATCTTAAAGTACGTAATGGTATGTAACCACCTGCTGCAGCTGCAGGAATGCTGGTGTTTCCCGGTGACATATATGGAGCCTCATATGACCTATGTTGAGTCCATGCGTCAGATACATGTTCAGCCACAAGGAAGTGAGTCTCTTTTACGTGGAGCAAATTCTGTATTCATTTTAAAGTAGAACGTCTATCAAAGATCTCAAAGCTCCTTAATGAAGTAACATTGATTAATTACCCCGCTATCAATTTGTTGTCAATAATCAAAACCAGATATTTTTCAGAGGTTTGAATTTACTCAGTATTTGAAGTTGTCAAGTTGGACTAGCTCTGAAGCTAATAGCTTTCAGACCTTTCTGTTGTACTTGTGGCACAGTACCTCCTAGATGCATCCTTCAGACAGTGGTGTATATGGATTGCTAACAGGCAAAGAGGATGTTGTGGCAGCTTCCAACAAAAGCATAGCAGACATTTACTTAGCAGTCCATGGTTTTTATTTGACATTGTCATTTTGAAGAAACATTTCCCACAGTTACAAAATAGGCTATTTTGTTTGCAAATGTAACATTGACCAGAAGGCAATATTTTGATGCATTGGTCCTGATCATCCATTGCTACAAAAGCATTATATAGATTTCCCCCCCCCCCCCCCCAAACCCCACCCCTTAACTAGCTGATAGGGTTCTGTATTAAGCAGCTTGATACTATTGCATCATTGTGAGACTTAAGGCAATAAATAAGAAACCATCTCTTGGTGACTATAAACACAAAATATACATTCAAGAGTATTTATTAGTTAGGGATGCAAGTCAAATGTATTGCTGTTGACAAGGAGTATAATCTCATGACTAATAGTTCTGGCTGCTGCTAAGCTCAGATTTCATATACTTGCTACCTCACCTGTGACACTTCAAGGAACCCCATGTGTGTGTCTAAAGGCTCCATACAAACAAGTGCTCCTATGAGAACTATGATAGCTTCAAAGCTGTATGACTGAAGTGTCTGGCTTTTCTGAAACACCTGTGTGGGCTCTAGAGCTGCTCCACCTACTGGGATCCAAGAAAAGTAGCAGGACAGTTGTCCTAACCCATCTTTGCTCTTCTGCAGTTAGAAGAAGCACTGGTAAGACTCATTCACACCACCATACATACGCGCACACAGCTAGCTGGATAAGAAACTCATTCACTTTAAGGCCTAACTTAAGAAAAACCTGGCTCTTCACATTGGGAGCATCCTAACTTTAACCTTTACTGCCACCTATGAGCTTACTAAAGGCTGTGCAAACCGCTTTGGCTTTCAGTTCGCCATCATCTCTTAACTTGTTAACTTGTCCCTGTGTTAACTGTGTTCAGTCAACTTCCTCTAACACAGCCTATTCAAGGCTTTTGTGGGAGAGGGGAGTCTAAATACACTATCTACTGTAGCCAAACTAAAGCTGACAACAAGCGTCTCATTTTTGCCCTTTAACTCTTAAAGGTTCTATTAGACTTTCAGAGCCCTTGGCAATTAACTGATACATTCAGCCGTAGTACCTAGTCCCTGCAGATACCATTTAGCTCTTGGAAATTCCAGTTGATTGAGAGGCCTCTTACCTCAGATAGATATTAACCATCCTCCAATACTATGTTTTTAATGGCTGTCATCTCTCCAGCCTGTCCTAGACGAGACCACGTGTTTAGTGGCGCTGTAAAAGTGGAGTCTTTGGCTGGCCAGTTAATTCTGTTCCCTGCATAGGGGTCAGATCCCTAATCGGAACAACTAGAGCAATGCTGTCTAGTGTAGTGGGCAATTGTTTTAATCCATGTGGGAAGCTGTTAGCAGTCCTGGTGTCATATGAGCATGGATATTTATAATCAGGGAGGATCATTTTATTGTGTTCTCATCTGGCCTGGCCTCGTATGGTGGTCTGCACTCATAAACATTCTTACAACGTGGGAGGGAGACCCTGTGGTAATGATATTTTTTTCCCTGAGCTGCACTCCAAACCATCCATCCTCCACGTCCTATCTTCCCAAATGGAAAAGGGGACGCTAATTAGTTTGCTCAGCTGGCAGAGCAAGCTTGCAGATAGGGGGTGCTAGTGGCCATGGGAATGCTGGGGTGAAACAAACTTGGGAGGGTATCATGTTCACTGCAGCATTGGGTGTGGGGAAGTGTCTGTCTTCATTGTAGACAAGACCTAAGTGTGGGAAAAAGTTCCTAGAGCTGGGATAGGAAGGATATTCAAATAGTGAAATTCCCACTAATATAAAACTAGACCTCACCTTATGTAAGGATCCTAGAGGCACTTGTCTGTCTTGTGCTTGCTTTTCCCTCATCTGGACATAGTGGTGCTAATTCCCTTATTTGTTAACCATCAAAACTCATCTGATTTCTAGAACCGTTTCTCCTCTTGAGGCTAACCTTCCCCAGATCTAGACACTTCTTATATCAGAAGGTGTGCTGAATGTAGAAAATGGAATTTAATCACAAAGAATCCGTTCTGAGATGCCCTATTATCCCGTTACCACTTGTTCTAAAGAAAGCTATAGCAGGCATGTTGGAATGTTTGTTCATTTTAAAAGGCAGCAGATACTTGAAAATCCTTCCTTAATACAGTAATACTGTTAGAAGTTTGCCTTTACCTCCAGTCCTTTCACACCACTTAATTCTCAAACCTTTTCTCCAAGAACCTCCAAGACTCCCTTGAAAGAGTCATCAATTAAAGGCAGAAGAGGGACCATTAGACTTAGGCTTACCTGCGTTACACAGGCCAGAGGATTTCATCCAGTTACCTCTGTACTGAGCCCAAAGCATTGGTTCTGTCTCTCAGCCTCCCCGTCCCTGCAGTGAGATGAACAAGTAATACCTATGGTACCGCTAGGGAAAAGGCCTCCTGGAAATTGTGACTTTGTGCAAGGTCACACAGCACATACTGTAGGCCTAGAAGGGCTGAGTCCTGGTTACTGTCAGTTAAATCACACACCCCTTCCCTTCTAATTTGATAGAGGAGCCTGTCTGCTTCATTTTTTTCCCAAGCATGGGGAAAATCAAGTGATTGTCCAGATGGCACTAAGGCACTTCTGTGTTTATATGATACACCTCTCCTCTAATGCTGCTTTGTCTCCAAAGTCGGGCATTGGGAATCTAGCGGAGACTTTGTGGTGAGTACTTAAACGGTGGCCATGCTGCTTGTAAAAAGTAGAGGGAACTGGGGTTGTTAAAAAGCCATGGTTAAATAGTCTGAATGTGCCTCTCCCCCTCACCCCAAAAAAAAAGGTCCAAGGGCAGATGGATTGCAGTAATAGGAATATTAAACCATTTTTGTCTAGAACATAGAAGGGTTAATTGCTGTAAACTCAATAGCAAAACCTGCCCCTGGTTCTGGGTTCAGTTCTTGTAGCTGAACTATCCTGGAACAGTAGTGGTGGTGATTTTGTTGGCACTGTTTTCCTGACTGACTTTAGTACCTGCAGCTAAGGGATGAGTACCATTAACGTCCACCTGCCGTTTTCCAACTCTTATCCTCCCACTCCAGATGCCACTTCCAAAATTCCAAACACTTAATGTTTGCCCCAACCACAGCTGTTCCATCACCTATGTGAAGAGTGCCTGTGGTTCCTGCTTCCATTTCCTTCCATCTGTACTCTACTTACCCCCGGCTTTCTGTTCTTTCATGCCCTTCCTATCACCACCAAGCCACCTTGCCGTTGTAAAGAGAACTTTCTTTGTACATCACGCTAATCCCTCCCCCACGCCCTCTGCAACATCTTGTCTAATTCTGTCCTCCGCGCAACTAGTACAAAAGTACAATAACTTCCATGGATGTAAACCCGATGGCCAAGAAACCCCATGCGTGCTGCTCAAGTCTCCACAGAGAGGGAAGCAGATGGGGAGTGCAGCACAAGGAAAATCAAGATGGATACAATCTGGGGATTGTTGGAATACAACGCTGTGTGCAAACCATCTCATGCACACAGCAGGAGAAAGGCATCAGGAGCTGGAGAGTGAGAACAAGCAGCAAAAAGGTCAGAAGAACTAACTCCAATGGAAGTGTCTTTGGGGAAACCCTATCTCTAGCCTTTATAAAGTTACTTAGCTAGAAAGGAGCACAGACTTTTCCGCTTAGGGCTCTCTCCTCCTCTGGATTAGATAGTTGCAATGCTTGGAAAGGAGAGCTCTGTTACAAGCCAAGTGTCTTCCAAGAGCGGAAGCAATGGAGGCTAGATGGAGTCTAACAGGAGATGCTGTACCATGAACAATGGCCCCTGCAAACATTGGCCTTTGGTTTCGAAGAGCTCCATAGAACAATGTTACCTTTCAAAAGCACTGAGCAAGCCAGAGTGGGGAACAACACAGTGCATCGCGAAAGATCCCGCTGTCACTCTCGGCTCCATGGGTTGGGACTGCCGTAGCGCCAGCCCGGCCCACACCTCATCTGGCACAAGAGCACGCACGCCACACGCACTCTGACACCTAATACTTTATATACAATGAACATTCCCAGAAAGAAGCACTTAATACATCCTTTAAATAACTCTGACAACAGTGTTCTGTCTCCTATCTACATGTGTCAAACATGGTACCGATGCTATGAAAATATAGCAAATATATACATTTCAAAACCCCGTATAAATTACTTACAATATACATAACGCGGAATGACAAGGGTGAGGTGAACACGGGCTGGCCAGGGGGTTTCCACGGGCACTAGCTGCCAGGGAGGTTTTGCTATTGGTAGCACCACTTACCATAGTGGGAAATAATTTACATAGGCTGTGGCTGCCCAGAATAGGTGCATTTGATTGATTGTTACCCACACCAATTGTCTAAAAGGGAGTGCTGGACAAGTACCTGCCATGGCATATCAAGCATAGCACAGCTGTAGCTCGATATACTGTGGATTACAGCGAAGTCGGGAGTGGAAGCAGGTTGGAGTAGGAGCGGATACATCTTCCTGTCCCAGACAGAAGCAAATTAAGAACCATCTGCCCCTGTCTCTCACCACCTGCCTCTGCTGGCAGGTGGCTTATTCCCTGCGTCACCTAGTGCGTTAATTTTTTTAATGCATTTGTTGTTCCTCTTTGGAAGCTCCTAAGAGTGCTGGTGAGTAGGTTTGAGTGTCATTGGCTGGCACCCAGCCCCTGAGGCAGGGCTGCTGCTGGGGATGGTTCACTGGGGAAGTGCGTTCACATTACCGTTTGCTCATTTCCGTTTATGATTTTTTTTTACACAAAAATACTGCTTTCGTGATATATTATTCCATTCTTGTTAAAAAGGTCGCATGTGTCATTGTTAGCCAAGGAAAGCATTGTTAAAGTGCTCGGCAGTACATACAAAAAAGTAAACCAAAAAAAAAAATTACATATGTCAATACATTCCTTCAACTATAAAAACCAAGCAACCAACGCACCATACTTACCCATTCAATCCACTGGCTGGGGGAAGATCAGTAGCTAAAGGGGAGCTGGGCCGGAATGGAGCCAGCATGCCGGCAGCCCCCTCTTTTAAGTGACCAATTAAAAGAACCCTCCCCCCCCTAGGTCTCCAGTACCTTTTTGGTTGAGCTGTCACTAATTGCCATGTCCTAAGACTGGCTGATCATTGGAAGTGGTGGCTTAATGTGGATTTCATGGTCATTCATATTTTTTAAATATTGAATTTCTTTAAATACAAATAATAGTACCAAATGCTGGAGGATAACACTAGCCAATACTGAAAACTAACTGATCTGGGTGCAGATACTGTCACTCTATATTCATGCCAATACAAATATTGAATTAAATATTCCCCTGAAACCTGTCGTTTTCCTCCACAGTGTGACTAGTCTGTGAATCCAAAAGTCTGTTAAACCTTAACTACTCGCAATTTCAGCTCCTCTCTTCCCATTTTGGCGCAGCCAGCTGAGCACGGGAAATCCGTCTTGAGTTGCTCCTTGCACCATTCACTTTACTTCGCAGCAGTTCTTGATAAAACAACTTAACAATAACAGGCCTCTGCTTTTGGAATCTGTTCATTTTGTTTGAAGCTAGGGTCACTTAAAAAGAGAGACACTTCTTTTTAATATTGCCCTGATTAATGTTGCTTGCCCTCTTGCTGCCAACGCTAAATATTAGGTGAGACCCCTGCGGCTTCTCTCATCTGGCCTTCTTGGTGAAGCTGAGTCTCTCAGGTTGTCCTGGACTGAAGGGCCAAACAGTCTCCAACGACACCAAAAAGCTGTGAAACCATCGCTAAAGTAAACAGGAAACTGAGGCACCTTGGTAATAGAAGCTGCCAGTATGTACAACACACAGTGGCTGTGTCCATCTTCATTAGGCACTTGGGAGGCTCAAGGCAACACCTGTGTTCTTAGCCGCGTGTCCCGAAGCGGCAGTGATACTGCTAGCATCTAAGCTGGCCAAGAGCCCGGGAGGGCACAGTGGCTCCCCAGTCCTTGGTGTGGCGTGAGTGCGTCAGCTTTCCACGCCGGTTCCCTGCAACTTCCGTTTCTGACTCCGAGTTGCGGTGGAACCTTCCCGGGCCACGTTACGAGGCTCTCTCTGCCTTCCCAGGGGAGGGACAGTGAGGTATTTTCCCAGAGACGCTGCACATGGTCTCCAGTTACTTGATGCTGGGGTGGACCTTGTTCTTTGCCCGCAGTGGCTTTTTCTTCCTGACCACTGGCGCCGTGGTGGCATACGTCTTGTGCGGGGAGAGCAGAGAAGAAGCCATGCTGAGGCCCCTACTGGCCCGGACTATCCGGCTGGGCGCACAGCCCGTGCTGCTCTGTAGGGCACCCAGGGCGCTGGTGGGATGGGAGGGCAACAGAGGGTCTCCGGGAGGATGCAGGTCGGCGTCGGAAAAGTTCTCAGGATAAAGTCCCTGTCTCCCCTGATCTGTGCTCCCCAGGTGGTACCGACTCAGCAGGTCCTCAGTCATCTGGATGTACTTCATCCTGGTCCTCCTGCTCTGCGAGTCCTCCAGCTGCTGCTCCATGCGGTAGACGTCCTCCGTCACCTGGTTCACTCGGTCAAACTGGGCCAGCAGCATCTCGAAGAGGGAGAGGAGCCGCTGGACATCAGCATCCATCTCTGAGCTCTCTCTGGTGCTCAGCACCAGGCTGAGCCCGTCCAGCTGGCTCGAAGAGGTGGAGGCCCTGGAGCTGTCAGAGGCTGCGCTGGGGGTGGGACCCCGGAAGGATTTGTCACTGGAGGACCGGGATGGTAATGGCTCCATCCCTTCGAACCTCACCTTGTGCCGAAACTGGAAGGGAAGCGAGAGCGAAAGAGGGTTAGTACAGAAAACAGGCACTCGTGAACCCTTGCCTGTCGCCCCAGGGTGGGAGCACCCCCTGCAGGCGCCTGCTCCAAGCCAGCAGGCAGGATGGGGGTGAGCTCTTCACGTCAGCCTTGAATGACTGTCTCCAACTGCAGAGTGCTCCCCACTTGGCCTGGCCGGATGGTGGGGTGACCTGAATGAGAAGAAGGGTGGGGGGGGTTTATATACCCACCAGCCTGATTAGAAACCAAACTGAACCGTGGGGGTGGCACAACATGGACATGCAGGGGACAATGCTGGGGGCAGTCTCTGCTCCTGCCAGCCAGGACACGAGCATTGCCACCAGTCCTCTACCTGGGACACCAGCTATTGTTACCAGTCCTTCCGCCTCCTGCCAGTGATGGCCCCTGTGACCCATACGGCTGTGAACAGTGGCCTGTCACCGTTTGCCCCCACCCTGCTGCACAACTGCAATGGGGGAAACAATCATAGTGTTTGTGTCACTGGCCCCCACGGCCCTGTGACTGCAAAGGCCGGCCGAAACACTGCAAAACCATGCATCCCATGTGGCCCACAAGGGACCGGGGCTCCTGGCTGGCCGTGACCCACCAGCCAGGAGCCCTGGGCCTCCCCCTGGCTAGCACACTGCACAGAGGTGGAGGGTGGAGCCCGATGGGACTGTGCACCTACTTCCTTGACTTTGCTGAAGCCCATCCAGAGCTTCAGCCTGCGGACGAAGAGCTCCACCATCTCATAGTCCTGGGGCTCGAAGGCCGGGCGGTACAGCTCGAAATTCATCTCCCGGTAGCGGTGGACAAGCACCGCGGCAAACAGCCTCAGCACGATCCACATCTCCAGCACGATGTAGCTGGCGCAGAACAGGTAGTACAGCCCCGAGGGCTCGGGCAGGCAGAGCCGGAGGTTCACGCTGCCGCGGACCACAGCCAAGAGGAGCAGGAGGCTGCTGCTGAAGCTGCGGAAGGATTCCGAGCAGGAGGAGAAAAGCTGCGAAGGAAACGCAGGGGTTGCAATGAAAGGCCGTTGTCTCAATGGCCGAGTGGCCATACCCCGCCTTCGAGACTGCCTTTCGGTCCCAGACCTCCGAGCGCCTTGCAAAGGCAGGCAAGCAGCAGCATCCCCAGCTACACCACAGGGGCTTAGGAGGCGGGAGCCCTGCTCCATCTATCAGCTACAACATTGATGGGCTGCCCCTGTGCCCCCTGCCAATGGGGCCTCAAGGAGTTCTTGGAGTTCCATCCCCATGGTCGCCTCAGCCACTGATGACTCTGCTGCAGGCCAGGAAGGGGCCAACTGCAGTGTGGCCCCCTCAGCTGAGCCTCGCTCACCAGAATGCTCTGGCTTGGATCAGAGCTGAGGTCTCTCTAATGAACCCTTCCCTTTGTAGCTAATCAAGTCTCCTCTCCCTCAGCAACGCCCAGCTTAGGGTGAGTCTTGACTGTATAATAAACATTTACCAGGAAGCCAAGCTGGGTATAAGCAAGGACGAGCAGCGCGAAGGCCAGCCCGGCAGCAGCCAGCTCCTTCGTGGACTTCTGCAGGGTTTTGCCGAACACAGACCATTGCCGGACAAAGCGCAGCTGTTGGGCAGCCTGAGACCAAAGAAGAGAAGCCAGGTTTATACCCGTGGGGATCAAGGAATCTGCTGCATGTGTTTCTGGGGTAGCGTTCCACCCTGGGGCACTGTTGCAAAGAAACAGACACTGCCTGCCCGGTGTTCAGGGTCCACTTGCACTGCTGGCATGTGGTTGATGAAGGTCCAAGTACCCTCAGCCCATTTTCGACCCCCGCCATTAAAACATCTGCACTGGCTAAAGCAGCCCTCGGATGGGGGGTTCGAACTCATTTAAATAAACACAGCAAACTTCAGAAGAAGAAGCGTGTGCTGCTCCTGCTGGCCGCCTGGGCAGCCATTGCGCTCTGCCAGTCTGTTGCCACGTTGGTTCCCCCCCCAAACTGTGTATGGGTGAAGTTTTTATCAGTCAAACGGACCTGAGAGCCTAAAGCTGCCTGCATGGCCCTGCGCTTTAGACTAGACACACGTGACCTGCGCTGTCTCTCCCCTGTGTGAATGCTGGGGGTGTGAACTAAAAGGTATCTAGTTCGTGTTAATGCTTGGTAATGTGTCGCTTAGCCTCGTGCATCCAGGCTCTGGTTAAGAGGTGGGAGGGGAGGACGTTTCAGCATCGAGGGTCCCTTGCAGAGAACGTCCTGCCAGCAGCCCTGCCTGTTTATAATAAGGGAGTTCTAGTTTGAGTGCTACTTCCTCATCTCAACCGTAGCAGCATGGTCTAGGGCAGGGGGAGGCTTCAAAGGATAAAACCAACCCCATGTGTGGCTCTCTGCTGGAGCACAGACCAGTATAATGGCCAGGCTGCTGGTGTGTAGAAACTGCTGGCCTGCATTATTGTCACATTGTGTGGGTGTGCTCCCCCATCTGTCTCACCCCCCACCCCCATTGTCTCTTGTCCGACCCTGTAAGGTCTAAGGGGTAGGGAGTATCTTTGTTCTATTTCTACAGCACCTAGCGCACATTTCTGGAGGTATGGTTAGCGTCACCAGCCCTTTTCTGAACAGCTAGTTTGCAGTTGCACTTAAGCTACATCTCATGACCATTACTATTTATTAAATACAGCTGGGTACCAGGGTGCCACGTACATAAATCTGGTGAAGAGAACATGGTCAAGTTCATCTCCTATACAAACTGAGCCCTATGTAATTTAACCCAGGTTTATAGACCAGAATATTATAAGAGTTGGTGTATTGCATTATACTGTCTAAGGGCTCATGGACAGATCTGCTAAAGTGCCCAGTACCAACAAGTGGAATCAGGTTTTGGGAGGGGCTGGGAGCTGAGCTCTTTTGACAATCTGGCCTGCGAAGCAGAGGTCTCCTTTGAGAAGTGAGCGAACCTGACTCCACGTTTGTGTTTCACTGGTTCCATATCAGTTTGGTTGGTTTACACAAATGGGGATCTGATGGTCACCCTTGCATCTTCAAGGCTGGGTTTCAGAAAGCGAGATGGCTGGCGTTCCTCAGCTGTACCGCAGTATCTAGAATCATACGACTGGAAGGGACCTCAAGAGGTATCTAAGTATCTAATACTAAGTGTTATCTAGACCATCCCTGACAGGTGTTTGTGTAACCTGTCTGTTCTACTCTTCATAAAGGAGAGACAAGGATCTAACTACTACTCATGCTCTGGATCTAACGCTGCACAGGAAAGGAGACTTGGGACAGGCGTAGCTGACTCAAATGTTGCCCCACCTGCATGACGGGCATTCAAGACCTTGCACTACCTCACAGCAGGCCCACTGCCATACCTTCACAGTCAGCAGGAAGAGAAGGGAGGCAGCCAGGCTGTTGAAGACTGAGTTGAGGAAGGCCACCTGGTAAAAGCTGGTGAAGCCCTTGCGGTTCTTCAGATAGTTTGCCCACTGCTGGTCAGCAATGGTGGCTTGGCTTAAGTGCACCACCACGGTGCAGGTGGTCAGAAGGATGAGCAGCCATTGGCTGTAGCTCCCAAATACGGCGAAGTAGGCCCTGCCTTCCTTCTTGATGAAGAGGGACTCGGAGACCACAAAATAGACCACAAACACCATGAGGAAGACCTGTAATGTAGGGGAGGAGGAAGAGTTCATCCAGAAAGAGGTGTTCAGAGTGGGGCAATGCTGATCACCCAGGGCCTCAATTACAGAACTGCAGTGCTGGCCCCTTGGAGCAGTGGCAGGGCCGTTGTCCCGTGATGGCAGAATGGGGTCCATACTACTGGCCTTTAACTCCCATGATGATGATATGGCTGCAACCCTGCCACCGAAACTTTGGGCCAAACCAGTCCCTGGTGTAACTCTGCTGACTTGCTGGTGATAGGTGAGCATTGGAGAGTGAGGCAAGGCTCTCCCTTTCTCTGGCGCCTGAGGGGCCAAGGGTACTGTCACTAGAGCGCTCCCAGCCGAGAGAGCTAACTTAGGACTCACTTTCGAGCAGCGGTGCGCTAAGTTCTTGTTAGACCCTCATGGCCTGCCCAACCTGGGGTGGATCAAAGCACAAGGCTCCATGACTCTCCCCCAGTCCCCTAGGGCAAACTGCCCGGCTGGAGGCTCCTGGGAGGTTGGGGTTTTGTCTGTCAGAGGGCCTGACCATGCCACAGCCCTAAGGTGCCTCCCATCGGTACATAGGCCTCATCTATTAGCAATCGCCCATAAGAAGAGAGGATGAAACGTGTTTGGATTCTGCCTGAGGGGGAATTTTTCCCTCTCCCACCCAAAGAACACTCCTCCAAAAGGGACGTATTCAGTGACTGTATCCCTTGTACTAGAAGTGGTGATTGGCGTGCAGGCTTTGGGCCCAGCAATGGGGGTGGGAAACCATCATAGAATATCAGGGTTGGAAGGGACCTCAGGAGGTCATCTAGTCCAACCCCCTGCTCAAAGCAGGACTGATCCCCAATTAAATCATCCCAGCCAGGGCTTTGTCAAGCTTGACCTTAAAAACCTCTAAGGAAGGAGATTCCACCACCTCCCTAGGTAACGCATTCCAGTGTTTCACCACCCTCCTAGTGAAAAAGTTTTTCCTAATATCCAACCTAAATCTCCCCCACTGCAACTTGAGACCATTACTCCTTGTCCTGTCATCAGCTACCACTGAGAATAGTCTAGATCCATCCTCTTTGGAACCCCCTTTCAGGTAGTTGAAAGCAGCAATCAAATCTCCCCTCATTCTTCTCTTCCGCAGACTAAAGAATCCCAGTTCCCTCAGCCTCTCCTCGTAAGTCATGTGTTCCAGTCCCCTAATCATTTTTGTTGCCCTCCGCTGAACTCTTTCCAATTTTTCCACATCCTTCTTGTAGCGTGGGGCCCAAAACTGGACACAGTACTCCAGATGAGGCCTCACCAATGTCAAATAGAGGGGAACGATCACGTCCCTCGATCTGCTGGCAATGCCCCTACTTATACATCCCAAAATGCCATTGGCCTTCTTGGCAACAAGGGCACACTGTTGACTCATATCCAGCTTCTCGTCCACTGTCACCCCTAGGTCCTTCTCTGCAGAACTGCTGCCTAGCCGCTCAGTCCCTAGTCTGTAGCGGTGCATGGGATTCTTCCGTCCTAAGTGCAGGACTCTGCACTTGTCCTTGTTGGAGGATTGGGCCAAAAGAAATCTGATGAGGTCCAAGTCAGCCAGGTGACTCTGAGCCATGGGAGCAGGAGGCAACTATTCTCCTGAGCCAAAAGCACAACCTAAGGGGGTCCCCGACGGCCCTTCCACAGCACAACTGTGAAGCGCGTCTGGGAAACAGGGTCATAGCAGCAAGCAGAGCAGGGCCGAGTAACTCCCTCCGATAGCCAGATCCCAGTGATGTCCATCCACTGCGCTAAGGTTGCGACTGCGAGCAGGGCTGCCAAGGAGGGACAATGGTACCAGGACCCTGAGCGCAGGGGCCCCGCAAAAGCCTGTAACTGGGCTGAAATGGGGGCAGGCCTAGCGAATGTGATGGGAGCCCCAAATTTCTCTCCACAGGCCTGACTGAGAGGAGCAAGGTTGCTGAACTGACCATCATGACAAGCTGCAGCGTGACTCCCCCACTGAGACGCAGCAGGGGGAAGGGCCCAACTGCGATGGCGGCCACTGCTCGCCCCGCCATGGGGAACTCCAGGCGCAGGGTGACGGCGGCATGCAGGTCCACGCTGGGGTTGTACTGCGTCAGCTCCACAAAGACCGCTCTGCTCCTGTGGGGACAGAGAAGCGGGCAACAGTGTCCGTCATGTCAGGTTACACCATTTTATAGGGGCGAGAGCTGCCAGAGCAGCTCAGGGTCTGTCTGAGGCAGCACCCGCCCTGCAGCTGGTGCAAGGAAGGCCGGGTGTGCATCTCCGGGTGCACAGGGTGCAATGTGAGTGGATATGCCGCCCACCAAGGAACCACAGAGGGGAACGCATCCTGCCTGCCTTGGTGGGACACCGCCTGACCGCAAAACCAAGGTGAGGGAAGATAAAGGGGGTCCTCTGGCTGAATAATGCTCCCCTCCCCCCGCTGAAAAAAACACTTCTAGGCTTGGCAGACACCACCTCAACTACCTGCACTGAAAAATTCAGATTAGGATTCGGGACTGTTCCCAGGTTACAGCCAAACTCAGGGCTTCCCCCTCTGCTGCCTTGCCAGCTGCTTACAGGTTGTTGATCCAGTTGTTTTGTTGAAGATAGTCCACTTGCGCTCTGCTCTCTTCCAGCGTGGCTCCTAGCTCCTGGATGTAACCTCCGCTGTCATACATGGAGACGTAGCCCCAGTACCAGATTCTGAAAAAGAAGAGGAGCCACTGGTTGCATTTTGGGGGTGGGGATTTGCTGACCGGGCCTCATAACTCACGCAAAGCCAGGAGGAGTTGTATTGTTTTACTTTCCATGCAAACGGAGGATTTGAACTGACGTACAGTAAGCGTCTTATTTAGTGCATCTAGGGCGTATGAGAAATTACAAACAAAAACTGTACCAACTTAAATGGCCCAAAACAGGCCCTAGCCCACCCCCCCCCAACCCCATCTTGAAACACACCTCCCAGAAATGATCCAGAGCCAAACAAATGCTAGAACCGAAGCTAAATGAGCATAGACCTAGTTTTTATACCTGTTTCCTGAACCCCTCTAATCAGCAATAACAGGAAGCTACTACCAATATGCAAATTTTTCCTTGCTGAGGTTTTAAATTGCTCTGTAACCCACTCCTGCTCTTAAACAGCAGTTTTGAAATATCAGTACCCCCAACACGTGCCCCCACTGCATTGGCAAAGTACCTCACGGTGGCACTCGTTTGCACACACAGAGCTCCACTCTATCTTCCATGCAGTGTGTGTGCCACAAAATTACAAATGGGGCTGCATGACTCGTGCCAATCAAACTGCTACGGAACAAAACCAGCTGGCTGGTGATCAGAACAGCACTAGGCCTTCCGTATTGTTCATTCGGTTGGCTCTCGGGGGCAGCAGTTGGCTGACTTGACATGACAGTTGGAAATGGAGTGGCTGTAAGAGCCCAATGCTGTGATTGGATTTTGCGGCCAGAACAGGAAATGTACGTGTGGAATGCGCAGCTTCGTACCCTGCTAGGTCAGGCGGCGAGTAGGACCACGGCTGTGTCAAATTTACAGATACCCTCTTCCAGCCAACAGCATAATCGGCAGTATTAAAGCCGTTAGACTCGTACGTGCATTTCTTCGCAGCGACAGATGCATCCGTCCCACTAAAGAAATCATGGATGGTATCCGGGCATTCTGCTGAAAAGAGGCCAGTATCGTGTTAGCTTGGCGGTGACGAGACATGAGACTGCCTGTGCTGGGGTGTTTGCACCTATCGGAAGGGGTTCAGGTACCTTGGAAGGGGTAGTTAATCTAGTGGACTGCATCTGGGGGAGGCTGGATAGACAAGTGCTAATGGAAGGGGAAGCTCAGCTGAGCAGCTGTAGCCTGCGCTGGTACAAAGCTAGCAAGCTGAGACCAGAAGGGGTTGTTGGGGAAGGAGGCTGCAGTCACTCCCTGGCAGCTGGGAGCTTGAGTTGGACCCCAGGAGTGGGCCACAACACCAAGAAAGAGAAGGGAAGTAAGAAGGAGCAGAGGGCAATAGCAATGAGGTTTGGAAATAAGCAGACCATTGTTGCTGGATAGCAGGTCCCTGTGCTGGAACCCAGAGTACTCGGCAGGCCCGGGCTCCCCTGCCAACCACTGGGAAAGTGGCACAGACCAGAAATTACAGAATACTGCCGGGTGGATTGTCCAGTGGGACTTAGCGACCCTGGAAGGGGAAAACTACATAGAGACTTGGCTGGAGGGCTGTCACAAAGAGAGAGCACCCTAAGTTCTGGAATGGGAGATGGGCCACGGGGTGAGCGAGTGATGGAAGGGGGCGCTGTTCCAGCTGAGAGCTGTTCCCCAGACTCAGCCATGAGGGGGCACCACAGCAGTGAGTAGGGAAACCCGTTACATGGCCATATGAACATCCCAGTGCAGAAAGCTATTCCTCTACATTGTGTCCCTCCCCTGCTTCAGTTAAACCCTCCATTCCAGTTCCACCTTCCCCGGCCAGACCTAGAGAAGGGAGCAAGTCCATATCATTTATTTATAAATGCAAAATCCGTAACTGAGCTACTGGGCTGAGCACAGGAGAACGTGAGTCATGTGGCTCAGACTTTGCTCCTCAGCTCACCCCATCCTGATGGCCGACCACCCTTGCTTGTTGCATCCTGTCTGAAATTGGGCAGGGCCCGGGTCTTTGGCTTTTGTACAGTACCTGGCACGTGTTCTTGGGCGTAAGGATAACCAGGAACCAACCTGCAGCCTCGCTGGCCAAACTTCTGCAGAGAACAGTGGTGTGCAAGCTGGCTACTGTGGGGCTAGAAAACTAGAGCTGGCTCTCAGCTTTGTCCCTCCCTGTCGCATTGATCTGAATCTCTTCTGTGAGGCGCCATTGCTCCCAAACCAGGGATGCTGGTAGCCACGCACCTTCCTGCAGGCGGACCTGACGCAGCCGTGGCACTCCCAGCATGGTGCTGTAACTCTCTTGCCCCGACTGGTTATTGTAGAGAGAGGGCAACAAGACCTGTGACATCCACGCCCAAAACTCATCGGATCTGTGCACGCAGGGAGGAGAAGAGAGGAAGGTTAATCCGGTCAATACAGAAGAAAGTGTCTCCACTCAGCCCAGCCCCACGCCCAGCTCTGGTCCTGAGGAGTTCTCTACGCCAAGGGGATGATCTGAAAGCTTGTATCCTGCCACTGGGGGGAGACTGAGCTTTGGAAAGGTGACCTCCACTGCTATTCAGTGGCCCACCAGCTCAGCCAGAGGCGGGCTTTATCCTCCAGACTATTATCCTATACCCTGAGAGATCACACAGTATAGATGTTTGGGACGGAAAAACCCTACAAGGTAAAACTAGTCCCCTGCTTCAGCATATTCTTACAGAAGATGGAGCTGAGAGAGACCATCAGAACATCTGATCTAGTTCCAGGCCAATGCACAATTGTTCTCCAGTGTTATACTAGAGTGATTTTATCCAGCCTCACTTCAAATGAGCGAAGAAATGAGGATTCTATCGCTTCCTTTGGGAAACTAACCCACAGCCAAAGTGATCTGGCCATTAGATCAAATTTTTCCTTTTGTTCTGCTGCATCCCATTGCCCTTTCTCCGTGTCGCTCTAACCTCACAAAATAAGTGTCCCACAGAAATCTTTTGAGCCTGATTCTCATTTACATTAAAGCCACTTCACAGCATTCTTGTGGGGTAAAGAGGCCTTCAGTGGGGTGTAGCCATACATATGCTCCCATGGCACAGCCCCTTTCCACTGCCAGTGCAAAGTAAACGTGAGCCAGGTCCCTCTGTAACTAGGAGCTGAGTCCGCTCTCATTTGACACCACTTTTAATCCCATGTAATTGTGCTGATGTCCGTGGGATGACTCCTGACTTCTATCAGTGTGACTCAGATGTAACATGGATTCCTGCTCTCACTTTGCCAAGCCTCATTTGTCTGTAGAACAATCAAGAGGGCTGACACAAGGACAGAACTAATTCCAGGAAAGCAGCTCTGGGGCCGTTCTGGTCAACAGGGATGACGACATCCTGAAAACTCCACCAGGAAATTGTCCTCTTGCTACAAGCCCCAAAGAATGGTAGGGTTTAGTATTTATAGAATAGATGATTATTTTTGGTTTTCATAAGCCTCTTTATTGCTAAACCTTCTCTAAAGCTGCGGTTTTTAAAGGTCGTCTCAGTCTGTCCTGATGCTGCAACTCTGAATCCATTGCTCAGATATCAGAAAGAGAAGTATAAACTGATTCTCTCTCTCCCCCCCCCCCCCCGCCCCAATTTCCAACAGTGGAGCTCAGTCCTTTAGAAACATTAATGAATTAAAGTTCACAGAACCCCTATCCTCATTTTACAGATAGGGAAATGGAGGCATCAAGCAATGAAAGGACGTGCCCCCCAGGGAGGGTGTGATGGAGGCAGAACTAAAACACAGATCTCCTCCTGAATTCCTGCACTGGGTGTTGGTCACAAAACAATCCTTGACCTCCCAAGGTGAATTTCTAAAATTAACATCTGGCAACTCAGACACGTACATTATAACCTCAGCACTGAGGATCTGGTACACCCCTGGGTGCCTAATGATGGGAGAAGGAACCCGAGCAATACAGTTAGTGAATGTCAGTCTCTCCTGTCTTCTGACATCTTGAGACTGGACTCACTGGTGACTGTCCCGTTCGAATGGGAGCGGCGAGGGCTGTAGTGACCACAGACGATTCGGCATTTGTGTGTGTGTAATTTGTGACCGGTAAAGAAACGCATCTGCTCACTGACTTCCAGCGCAAAGCCCCACAGTGTTCAGCCTGAGGCTGCCTGGTCCGGAGGATGGAACAACCCACATGGCTTGATGCTCCGAGCCCCACTTGGGCTTCGCAATTACCTCTTGACGCGGAGGAATTCCTCGCCACCGAGCTGCTGCTTGAGGGAGCTTTGCAAGAGGAAGGCCCTGCCGTTGCGGGAGGCGTCGCCATAGTTGGTGAGCAATGTCACCAGCAAGAACAACATATAGATGAGGAAGCTCTGGCAAGCAGAAAACAGAGGCATGCGGTCAGAGGACTGCTTTCAGCCTAGAGCACGGTGCCTACCTTGGTGGGAGCAGGGCAGCTGAGTACATGAAGCAAGCTGTCCTGCGCCCCAAGGGCTGGATCCTGCTCTCCTTGGATGTCAGGGCAAGACCCCCACTGGGAGCAGAAGCAGGCCCCGACATACTGGTTTCGTGTTTTCCCATATGGGAGCTGCTGTTAAATGAAATCCAGACCCAGCCCATGGCCTTGTAACAATTTTTTTTTTCCCCAAACCAGCCAGCCCAACTCCACATGTTCAAGTCAATACAGATTACACAACATCCCGGCCCGCTCGGTGCTGGCAGCGCTGCGTATGTAACAGCTTCCCATTTAGTGGGGCTTTTGTTCTTGAAAGGGATAGCGCCCAGTTCAACACAGCACAGCTTTTAAACCCCGGGAGTGTTACTAACACCAGCTGGGAGTATTAACAGTGAAAGATCTTTAAAGTGATGGAAGCTCCTTTTCACAGCCGGTTGGCTGTCTGCATTTCACTGGGCTTGGATAACGCAAGTGGCCTGTTCCGTTTTCTTGTGCCCCAGGCCGGAGCTGTTGTGTTTCCAGCATTGCAAGGGAATGCTTTGACCCCAAAACCAACTGATTTCACAGGGAGGAAATAGTTCCATTCCTCTTAGCTTTGGAACCCTACCACCTCGCTCAGACATAACGCTTTTCATCCACAGATCTCAGAGCGCTCTAGAAAGGTGGTCAGGATCATCACTCCCTTGTGCAAATGGGGAAACTGAGGGACAGAGCTGGGAAGGGACTTGCTCGAGGTCACCCAGCAGCCCAGTGGCAGCGTCGGGAAGAGAACCCACATCTCCTGAGTCCCAGTTCCGTGCTCCTATCCATACCTCCCACGTTTAAACAAAACCTGTAGGGTGGGCTGCAAAGACTGGAGAGACTCACCCGGCCCTTGTATAAGCCACACAGGCAGGCACAGTTAGTTTCCTTGCTTTGTTCTCCTAACCTGATACAAGGTTCGTCACAGGAGTGTCCTTTAGGTCCGTGGTTCCTAACCCTTTCAGGGCGGCGCTATTGCAGTGGTGCTCACGGGCTAGGCTGGGCTGCTTGCAGTCACAAAGATGGTGTTTGGAGCAGCCCATGTTCCATGGCAGGTTAGTGCCGGCACACCCTGATGCCAGGAGGGCCCAGGCCGCACCCTGGGGCCAAGCTCAGAGTCTCAGTAAGGTAGAAAGCGGGGAGGAGTCTATGGATTCCAAAGTCAGGAGGGACCACAGTAATGGGCTAGTCTGACTTCTTCAATAACACAGGTCAGAGAATTGCCCCCCTGCTATCATTCCTAGAGCAGATTGTTTAGAAAAACATCCCATCTTGATTTCAGAATTGTCACTGATGGAGAATCCACCACGACCCGTGGTACATTGTTCCAATGGTAAATTCCCCTCACTTGTTAAAACTTGACACCTTATTTTTTGTCTTTGTCTAGCTTCAATTTACAGCCATTGGATTGTGCTAAACCTTTCTCTGCTAGATGGAAGAGCCCATTATTAAATATTTGTTCCCCATCTAGGTACTTAGACTGTAATCAAGTCACCCTTAAACATCTCTTTGTTAGACTCAAGGAGCTCAATCTATTTAGCTTATCACAATAAGGCAGGTTTTCTAATCTTGTTTAAGCATTCTCATGGCCATTCTCTGAACCCTCTCCAATTTATCAACATCCTTCTTGAACTGTGGACACAAGAACTGGACACAGTAGTCCAGCAACAGTTGCACCCAGTCCAAATACAGAGGTAAAATGACCTCTCTACTTCTACTTGATATTCCCCTGTTTATGCTTCCCACGATTGCATTAGCCCTTTTGGACACCTTCAGCTGATTATCCACCCCACCCCCAAATCTTTTTTAGAGTCTCCACTTCCCAGGATAGAATCCCACATCCTGTAAATATGGTCTATATTCTTTGTTCCGAGATACAGTTACATTTAGTCTGTTAAAATGCATATTGTTTGCGTGCACCCAATTTACCAAGTGATCCAGATTTCTCTGTATCAGTGACCTGTCCTCTTCATTATTTACCACTCCCCCAATTTTTGTGTCACTTGCAAACTTTATCAGATATGATTTTAGGTTTTCTTCTTCATTTTTATCAATCTTCTTCAATTGATAAAAATGTTAAATAGCGAAGAGCCAAGAACCGATCCCTGCAGGAGCCCACTGGAAACGCACCTGCATGATGATGGTTCCCCATTTACAATTACATTTTGAGACGTATCTGTGAGCCAGTTTTTAATTCAGTTAATACATGCCACTGTCATTTTATATCATTCTAGTTTTTAATCAAAGTGTTGTGCAGTACCAAGTCAAACGCCCTACAGAAATCGAAGTCTTACGTCAACGCTACTACCTTTATCAACCAAACTTGTCATCTCGTCAAAAAAAGATATCCAGGTAGTTTGCCAGGTGCTTTACCTTTAGCATCTTGTGAAGCAGTTTGACCTTCCTGGCCTCCTCCTTGGCCTGGAAAAGGGCAAATCCCTGAGGAGGTCGGACTTTGTTGATCTTCTCGGAAACGTGCTCGACAAATGGAAACTCCACCAGTGTGTCGTCTTCCTCCGGGTACAGGCGCTTTGCAACCAGTGCGAAATAAAGGGCTTCCAGCAGAACCTGTGACCCAGGAAATCAATGTGCTTTAAGACACCTGTATAGCAACCTCACCAGCACAAGGCCATGTTGGGAAAGTCCTCACCGTTCCCAACATGGATTCAAGCTTGAATAGAGGAGCCGGCCTCAACTTGGATCCATGTGGCTTCATGGCTGCCGACCATGGGTCTGTGCTAACAAATTTCTCCTCTCTGAGGTAGAGCCTGTCTGGCTGTTGGCATCTGAGGTTTATTCTCCATTTGCCCCATGGAATTGTGCCAGGGGTGGGGAAGAAGATCCATATTTTCCTAAAGCCAGATGCTGTACAGCCTGATACACAACAGCGATAGAGGCTCCAGCTTTACACCTCTATAATTTCCACAGATGCTTCCCTGCCGCAGGCAGAGAGATTGAACCATTTCATGGCCTGCCGAGGGCGTCTCGGTGCCAGTTCAATCAGGGCTGATCCCCTTTCAGAAATCTGCGGTAACTTACAGAGGGGAGTGATCGATAAGGAGATAGAGAGAGAGAAGCAGGACCCTATGCAGCCTAGACTGGTGGGGACAGAAAATCATGAGACATTAAGCAATTTCAGCGACCTGGAGAAGAAATTACACACACGCTTTCCACACCCATCCTTACCTTCAGAGGTTCCCAGACCAAGAAGGATGCCAGGAAGCTGAATATCCCTGAGATGAGCCACATGAGGGCAACACTGGAGGTGAAGCCCACTCCGATCCACACGGAGACCCCAATGGAGGTGGCAAAGAGGAGGAGGCTCATGGCGTGAGCTAGGTATGAGTACCAGTGTGGCAGCAGGCGCTTCCTGAACGTGTGGTCCACAACTGCAGGGAGCAAAGCAGGGGCCTGAAATCCCACAACGGTGCTGCCAGCAACCGGCAGGGCCAAGCAACTGCCAGCCCCACCAGAGACCTGAGCCATTGTGGGGAGCCCTCAGAAACCTGGGTGTTCTTTAGAAGGATAATCCACATTTCTGTGGCCCCACCACGCTGAACCGACCACATACATAGCTCGCTGCTGAAATGCATCCATCCCTGAAGTGAAGGGCAGTAGCCACCGTCTGCAAACCACACCGTGTGTACATGGGGAAGGGCAGCCATTCTGACCCAGACACTGGCCCTCACTTACCAAAGGCCCAGGGGATCTTTAGTGCCCAGCCAGAGCCTTGGCTTAAGGTGTCACTTGAAAGACCCAATCCAAGGAGATTGTTCCGTTCACCCGGGAAGGACAAGGGTGACCCTGTGAGGCTTTGAACCTGCATGTCACCAGGAGTTGACTCTCCTAACCGGCTGCTTCTGCCTCTAACCCACCCTGTCCAGGAGGGGCTGCTTAGACAGAGAGATGCTTTCATCCAACCATGTGACTAAGCTGTACAAATCAGATACTACAGTAGTTCAGGCAAAACCAATGGATGGATTTTAATAGGCCCCAGAGCCCCAGCTCTGTGTTTAGTTTTCTGCACTGAGAAGAGGCTGTAGTGCAAGAAATTCCTGGGGGGTGTCTGAAAGCAGGACAGCTCGTGCTAAGAAAGCCACTGCTCTAAGGTCCTTACCAGGACTCTTAAGTGGAGAAGCTAAGAACCTATCACCACCCATGACCTGTCTCCATCCGTTCACCTTTTCACCTCCTGGCCATGGGAGAGGCTTGTCTGTAGGGAGACGGTATGAACTCTTTGTTTGCCCATGTTATATGTCACCGCATGAAGTCTCCTTTCCTTCTCCCTCTCTCTTGTTTAACTGGTTTGAGTTTTCATTTGAGTTCTAACTCCCTTTCCCCTGTGCTGACATCAGGACCCTCCCCTACCTTCAGGTCTAATTAGTTCACTGCCGTAATGTGCTTCTGAAATCAATCCCCCTGTGGGAGTGGGGAGTGGTGGCTTTGTTTTTGCACATGGTAGGTAAATGCCTTTGAGCATGAAATGCCGAGTTAGGGCTTTTCCAGAAGGGGTTTTTATGATGATTTTAATGAGAGCACAGGGAACAAAGGGAAATGGATCCTGAAATGGTAAGGCATACAATTCTCCAGCTCTCTATTCAATGAGCATGCCCCCTTCTGAACCTGGCTCGTAAAGGGGCGCACATCATGGCTGTCTGTGTTTATCTGCCTATCCACCCCTTATCGCCATAACATCTGAGCTCCTTTCTTCGCCCTAGCTTGTTTCAGGGAGCATGTCCTTTGCGCTTGGCACTGACATCAGAGAAGGCCTTGCCCCCCCAGTACCTGTCCATGTAGACTTGGCAGATCTGCTCACTTCCCTGGCAGGGGCTACCATGTTCTGCCCTTTCTCATTCAGCCGCTGCAGCATGATGGTCTCTGTCTTCTCCCCAAACACGCTGGATCTGCCAGGGCAAATCAATGTTATTAGCATGGGGCTTAAACCCGGGTTTGCTTTGCAAGAGGCACTCCATCAGACACACGGGCTTTGCGGTAAGCGAACCGGTGGCAGCCTGGTTCGGAGGGCCCCAGAGAGAGGATTCTGAGCCCAAGCAATGTGACATTTAATCTAGCACCAGCTGCAGGCAACTCCTTGGCTAATTAGCAGCTTTTCTTCTTTTAAAGGTGCGTGCTTCTTGAGAGAGCCAGTCCTCCCTGCTACTAGCCTGCTCCATAGGGATCACTAACATCATGCCCTGCAATCACGGGCAAGATAAAACTACTTCCCTCCCCAAGTGACGGCAGCATCAGTCAGTGGGATTTGCTAACTTCCCGCTGGGCCACCTGGTTTGATTCATCGCCTGCAGAGAAGGGACGGCAGGAGTGCAAGGCTGCTCAGGTTTCTGCTGATGACTTTCGGAAATTGCTCTTCCAGCAGCCTTCCCACGGTGCCCCAACGCAGATCCCTGCGCAGATGGTTCAGACTGATGGCCTCTTTGTTTTATATCTTATAGGGGCATAGCGAGGCAGAGAGACCCTGATATTTTCCTGTCTTTGCTGGCACTGTTTAAACTGGGCTATAAACCCAGACAGCGGGAGATCGCAGCTCAGCCCAGCGTTGTCCATGTGGAGCTGCTCTCGAGCGGAGCTGACCTGCATCAGCGGCACTCGCTGAGCAGGTCAAAGGAAACCGCGACAGAGACGCTTCTGCGGCCTCTGGAGGCTCCTTCACCAAGGTGCTCGCCAGCAGCGAGGTGGAATCTAGAGTGAAACAGTCACCTGGCGCCCAGCGTTTGGGGCTAACAGGAGGTATGTGAGTGGGGAAGAGCTCTGCCTGCCTGGTTGATACGGCTCCAGGTGTTTGCTTTGTGAATGCAGTTGCCAGCCAGGACCAAAAGGCCAGATTCAGCAAAGCTGGTGCAGCACAAAACAACTCCCCCCGCCCGGGGCACTGGAACAGGGCGGGCTAAGGGGCCATGGCCCTCCCAAGTTTGAAAGTGGATGGGCCTGGTCTGTCCACTTTATGCCAGAGGCCCAGTCCCCGTTCCCCCACACGGCTCTTACCCTGGCCCTCCGAGGCCCTGGCCACATCGGAAGCTGGAGCCAGGTTGGGGTAGGAGCCGCATGAGGGCAGCAGGCCTGAGGAGCGGGGGTCAGGGGCTGTTCTTGGGTTCCTCCCAAGGTTGAGGGCAGGTGGAGGGCCCTGGGCTTCCCAGCCCGGCTCTGGCTTCTGGCTTGACTGGGGGGTAGGGCCTCGGGAGGAAGAGGAGGGGCAGGGGTGGGCAGAGCCTCATGGCCCCCCTCTTTTAGGCAGAATCAGTTGCCCCTGTTCCCCACACTCCTGGCGGGAGGGCAGGGGCCCAGGGATCGCTCACTCACCACACCTTGTTTAAGCACTTTTTTCTCCCTGCATACTTACAGGCCTGAGATCAAGTCCGTTTCGGCTCTGGCATACTGCCCCGTATCCTGGGGGTGGGAAATGCCACTAGCTCCATCGGCAAGGATCTGCCGGATCAGATCTTCATCTGAGAGAGACAGACAGCAGGGCAGGAAAGTTAGCACCCCAACTGCTAACCAGCTCCCTCATCCCTCTCCCTGTTAACAGAGCTGCTAGCATCGGCGCTGTCTTCCCCTTTGCCTACTGGGTGCTTGACCCCCCACCCCAACTCTGGCCCCGCCCTTGCCCCACCCCATTCACCGCCTTCCTCCAAGTCCCCACCCCGACCCACCTCTTCTCCGCCTCCTTCCCTGAGTGCGCTGCGTCCCCACTCCTCCCTCCCTCCCAGAAAGTCCTAAGTGCCGCCAAACAGTTGTTAGGCGGCGGGGGGAAGCACTGGGAGGGAGGGGGAGGAGCAGGGATGCAGTGTGCTTGGGAGAGGAGGAAGCAGGGGAGCTTGGCTGCCGGTGGGTGCGGAGCACCTGCTAATTTTTCCCCGTGTCCCATGGAGTCGGTGCCTATGGCTGCTAGTTCTGTTCACAGCACCTCTCAGTGGAATGGGAGAGGGCTTCAGGCCAGTTTCCACATAGGTGAGGCTATCGGGGTCCCCTCCTGCACAGCCACCTTGAACCTCCTCCTATGGCTCCCCACCATCACTCCTGCACCCAGTGTGAACCTGCTTGGGCACCCTGGTTGGGATGGAGGCACGAATTGGGGAGCACCCTCTTTTAGGGTCACTTCAGGGGCTCACGGATGAGGATGCTGGTGCTCCATGACCAATGAGGATGCACAGGTCATTGGGGAATTCAGACACCCTGGGTGTGAGAGTCTCCCCTTGCTCCCAGGGATTTGACAGCAGGGTAATGCCATGGGTTCAATGGACTCGCCCCCTGGGCGTGAGAGCAGCACCAGGTTCAAGCAGCCCCTGGGCCCGGAGTCCGACCGACCTGCATTCCGTGGGTGCCCATGCTGCAATAGCCCGGATGATGGGCCAGGCGTGACAGCAAACAGGTCTGCATCTGCAGCTCAGCTGCCCCGGGCCAGCGCAGGATAGCTCTCTGTTGCCTATCTCCTAGGGCGTTAGCTCCTCTGCTTTTACAGGCCCCATATTAAAGAGCTCTGAGGCAAATGCAAACCTGATCCTGGGGGATTTTTTCAGTTAAAGTGCAGCTCCTCTGCTAAGATGAGAGCTGGCTGCTGGCACAGGACAGTGTGGGGAGGGGCGCAGTGCAAGCCAGGGTAGGAACAGGTCATGCTCAGACACAGGGGAGCAGTGTGATGGCTGAGGGCCACAGTGCCTCCTTCCCATGCCCTGAGGGCTGGGGACAGCCTGCTCCGGGCAAGATTTGCAGCCCGACTTGCTGCAGTCCCGAGTCCTTGACCCACTCTGGTCGCATTTGGATTCGGACTCCCAACATGCAGAGAAATGGGTCAATTGATCACTTGGGCTGAACCAAATGACCTTTTGCTCAGCCAGGGAGCCGTGGTGCCAGCCCTGAGGAGCCATCGCAGGGTTCCCTGGCCGAAGGAGGCAGCGATAACCCTGCTGCCCTGAGCACAACTCTTCAGTCGCCATCGGCACTAGGTGGGCCGAATCCAGACGCCTTCACTCAGGCCAATCGCCTGTCTGAGTCAAGGGACGGAGCCCAGGACTTTTATCTTAGCACCGTCCCCTTTCACCGTGGTCAAGGGCAGGGGTTGTGAAGGCTGGTGTATTGGCCCCAGGAAATGGGAGGTGTCACTGACTTTAGGACTGGCAATAAAGAGGTGTTTTGAGGCACAAAACGCACCCTACTCCGTCTCTGTGTCCAGGCATAATTGCCCAGGGTGGCAAGTGCTAGACAGGAGGGAAGCGCTCAGGCCAAATGCCCCTCCCTAGCAGCGCTACTGGAGCCAAGCAGGCCCCGCCAGTGCTGCATCACGCTGCTCTCACCCCTACCTGAGGCAGAGAAGTATTTGGTCTGCCCTGGGTGCAGGCCAAGCGACAAGCTGTCCTCCTCAGCCGGCAGGGGCACCTCGAGCCCCAGATGGCGGCTGGCCCGTCCCCGCTTCAGCTTCTGGATGGTGTTGCCCATGATGGAGGGGTCGCTGAGGAGATCTGGCCAGTTGAGCAGGGCCTCGCTGGAGTGCCACCGAATCAGACTGCGGGACGGAAGGCAGAGCGGGAGGGTCCCAGGTAGGCAGCGGGAGAGAGAGCGCTGTGTATTAATAGCCGGGATAATGGTCTCCAGCGAGATTTGTATCAGAAGCCAGCGTCCTGCCTTCCAGTCACGTTCATTTATTGCAATTGCTAATCAATACATGCAAGCAGGGCAGAACCCGTGTCCCTGGGAGAAATCAAAAGGCAGCCTAGTGTAGCAATAAAGCTGGCAGACGCGCCTCACCTCTGAGCCGCAAAAAATGACCAACTACAATAAAACTGAGCCTTTTGCCCACTGACGTTAATCAGGGCTTGATGTCTCAGGCTCCCCAACCCACAATTTACTGTCTTCCCTGAAAAGGTGTCTGTGTGCGCGTGCTCCGAGGCCCTACAAATGCAGTCTCCCTGCCGGTTTTCAGCCCCAGCAGCTCGCTCACCTCTTTGAATCGTCTAGGAACAAATCGGTTTTGGTTTGCTCGGAAAAGGCCTGTGGGGAAGGAGCAGAATAAGTTTCAGTCACCAATCGCTGGCTGGGTTCTGGTTAAAATCACAGCTGATCAACACAGCAGGGGTGGGGCTCTCCAGGGGGGGTCAGGCAGGGGAAGTGGCCCCGGGGAGGGGCCAGCCTCGCAGTCTGGGCACAGGACTGGGAGCCAGGCACTCACACACTGGCCCTGATGTTGACTCGCTCTATGGCTTTAGGCAATTCACAGCACCTCTCAGCCTCCATTTCCCACTGTAGAAGGCGAGGGTGCACCGGGGTGTTGGGCCGATCAGGGTGTTAACGTGTATCGGGCAGAAAGTGCTGGATGTATGCTGAGTATCATTAAGTGCCTTGGAACTGGCCTGGGGGCCGGAGGGGGCGTGAGCGCATGCTGATCCCACTCTACATGGCTTCCACCCTCCCTGACTCATCAGGTACTCAGCCAGGGGCAGGACCCTGTGCCAGCTCCACTCTTCCCTGTACCACGCTGCATTAAACCATGGGCCAGGGATTGACGCCGCTCTGCAGCCACACGCAGGGACAGAAGAAGGCTGAACGGCGCCCAGGGGGGCTGGGGGAAGCACAAAGAACTGCCTGCTTTGTGCCGCCTTTAGGCAGGAGAGGCCTCCCGTCACCTGCTTACCTCGGCCCGGATCCCGGGGAAGGTGAGGAAGGAGCTCTCCAGGAGGGAGGAGTCCAGGTAATTATCGATCTCCAAGGACTGCTGGTCCGAGTGGGTCAGGGTGTGGCTGATGGACGCCTGCACAAGAGGCAGGGAGGGGAGGGTGAGGCCATTGTTCTGGCTAAGAACTAGGTCTCGCTTGTATAATTAATTTATGGCCCCACCGCTGCCCCTCTAGGTCCGACACCACCTACACTGGCACTCCAGGCCGCAGCACCCCCCTTCCGCTGCCCCATCCATTAGATCAGCGAGCAGACGCTCTTGACCTGCCTTATGTGTTACACCAGCAAATAAATGGCTTGGTAGCACAACAGGACGTGTGACCCCATGGGCACCCTGAAGCAGGCAACCATGGCCTGCCTGGCAACAGTGAGGGCAAAACTAGGGGAGCGCCCCAAACCCATGTGGGTTTTTCGAATACCTCCCAGGGGGCAGCTCTCACTGGCCAAGGCTTTACACGTCAAATGACACCAATTGCCTGGTTGCCTGCCTGGTGCCCCTCAGTCTCCCCTAGCCAAGGGCGTCCCAGCACAGGAACGGCTCGCAATCTCCTGCTGAGCCTGTGTGCTCTTAAGGAAATTAGGAAGGGAATGTCGCTTATCAACCACATAATGGCTGGTTGTGGTACTTAATGGGGCTGCCTAATTGTGTCTAGCCAGTCCCTATAGCCCCAGATCATCCTCTTGTGGCTGCATAACCACCGTACTGCCCAGACAGCGGGACCTTCACCTACAGTGGTACGTCATTAGATCTCCAACATATCCATCACCACAGCATCTGGTAGCTAGCTGGGAGCTGGTGGGAGCCATATTACAACACAAGTATGGCTACAGAATCCACAGAAGGAAAAGAGGACCATAGGCACTGTCAGACTGAATCAGACCCGAGGGCCATGGAGGCCAGCGTCCCGTCTCAATAATGGTCAGTACCAGAGGCTTCAAAGGAAAATATAAGAACGCTGCAGTGGGATAATTTGCCCCCTACATTAGATCTCATCCTGATCACTAATAGTCAGAAATTGGCTAAGGAGGTTTAATGTCCCCTCCAGACTCAGTTAGCCTTGACTATTGTAACTGCTCTCACTACTAACTGTTATAACTAGTATTAACTATTATAAGTCTTGCTATCCATATAAATGTCCAATGTTGAATCATGCTAATTCCTTGGCCACAGTGAATTCCTGTGGCAGAGAGTTTCAAAGCTGCTATTTGTACGTGCACAGAATGCTTCTGTAGCATCGCTATGGGCCAGATTCTGTGCCTCTTACTCATGTCCATGCTGTTACTCCTGAAGTAAGATGCAACACAATGGGAGTAAGGATGACAGACGCTGGCCCTCTGTAAGCAAATCTGTTGTCGTAAAGCACCCCTTGAAAGTCAATGATTTTTCTTCCCTGTTACCTTGCTACGAGCCATCCTGAAGAGGAATAAAATGACCAGGTACACTGGATAGACCACAACACTAGACACCAAACCAACAGCCACAGTGTCAACGCTAAGTGGGATCAGGTTGGAAACAGCCACGTTACTGGAAAAGGTCAGGAAAAGAAGGAGAGAGATGTCAGAACCAATATCACCTGTGTCGCCACCTGAACTAGGGAGCCAGTGTTTGGAAGGGAAAGTCATTTTTAACGGGACACTGTCGAGAAGACATTGCTGGCTCCCCTGGGAGTTTTGGGTGTGCAAGAAGTGCAGAATAGAGCCCTGGCTTAGACTCAGATCCTCACAGGTATTTAGGTTCTAACTTCTGTTGAAATCAACAGGATTTGATTTGAAGTGGACGGTACCTCACATGTATCAAAGGTACCTGCCTAAATTGGAGGATCTGCAGCAGAAAGCCTTTCACATGGCGTTATTAGTACCAAAGTGAAGGGCTATTGTGGTCTGGCAAAATTCTGATTATGTAGCAAACGACTGCAGCTGCTGCTGACCTCCTCTGCCTCTTGATTTTTGTTCAACGCTGAGAGTTTCCCTTTAATGGCAATTGTTCTGTTCAACTTGTCCCAGCTCTGTCCCTCTCTCTCTCGGGCTCATTTCAGAGGCTTTGTCACTTTGCTTTTTACCAGGATATAAAGCGCCTCCCAAGTCTCGAACCACAGAATAAATCAGGGTTGGGCGATTGGAAAAATTACACCCAGGAGCTGTGTGTCTCTCCTGCTTTCTGCCACGCACGGCACTTGTGTCTAGAGCAAGCGGGACATCTTCACGGCTGCTGCTGCTTAGCCCCCTTCACAAGTATCAGGAGGGAGAGTATTGGCAAGGTCTGAAATACTGCTCTACAGGCAAAGATAAGAGGGGTGGTGGTGGCAGGGTATGTTTCAAGGTGGTAAGTTGGAGCCAAAGAGAGAAAGGGGCAGCAAGATCTGTCCATCCAGTCTCTTCTATGACGCCCATCCTGAGGGTATCTGAGCGTGGGAACAATTCACAGATTCTTGTGGTAGGGAGGTTTGGGGAGCTCTTTTTCCTTTACGCTGGTGGAAATGGAGAACATTAGGGAGGTGATAGATCAACGGCCAGGGGCTTCACAGGATGGATCATGGTCCATGTGCCACACAGCCACGTGACTGCACAGGTCATTACCAGGCAGGACAGCCAGCTGCCTCTGGCAGGACCAGGGCACAGGCTTGGTTAGGTGATCCCGAGAGACCAGGAGCAGCGCGGTAGGATGTGCAGCCTACCTGAGACTGACGTCTCCCACCACGCCGTACCACACGGCATTGGCGCAGAGGAAGAGGAAGATGAGGGCGGAGCAGCAGGTGGCTCTCTGCACCCGAGTGAAGCGGCTGCGTGGGGGCCGGTCCCACATGGAAAGCCAGATGTGCTTCTCGAAGAAACCCCGCTGCAGCTCAGCCACGAAGATCCGAGGGAAGCTCCTCAATTCCATCTCGCCTGAATGCCGGGAAAAGAGAACCAGGGTCAGGCTGAGATGAGCAGGTGAGAGCCACACACTGCAGAGGGGGCCGTTCTGTGCCCTAGATCTACCAGCCCCCACAGCTGGAGCTCACAGGGGCCTGTGCTGGCCGGGACCCATCCCCCAGAGCTGGCGCTCACGGGGGCCTCCCACTCTGCCATGTACGCTCTGGCAGTGGAGAAGACTGAGCCAGAGCAGGTAAAAGGCAGAAAGAAGCCAGCAGAGCACCTCTGATCTGGAGCCAGCATGAGGGCGTTGACAGGGGAACCCATGGTGGTGTCCGTACAGTCACTCTTTTGGCATTCCCTACAAAATAACAAGTCCCAAAGTCCCAGGAGCTGCCCTGCCCTCCTCCTCCTATCCCATGAACACTGACTGCTCCAGGCCCCATGTCCCAGCAGCCAAGCACTCACTGGCGGCATAGACCTCCTTCTCCACCATGCCGTCATTCTCCTCGCTCTCCACGGACAGCCAGTCATTCACCAGGAAGAAGTCGCTCTTGCTGGTCTGCAGGTCTCGGACTATGACGTGCTGCAGGTACCAAGAAGGGCTGAGCCCTAAAAGCAGGGAAACAGAGAGACGTGGCTCATGGCAGACCATGTCTCTGCCAGAGCGCAGGGCTTGCCATGCAGTATCAATAGCTACACAGCCCCGTGGATGAGATCAGGAGAGTAAGAACAGTCAGTTGCTTCTCAATCACACTCCTCATCCCTACAGGGACTGGGTGGCACGCAGGGGCTATGGTATGGAGCACTCTGGAAGGGTGCACACTTCAATCTCAAAGCACTTTACAGATGTAGGTAAACAGAATATAGCCCTAATCTGCAGTAGCCGAGGCACCAAGGACATCTGTGAAAATCAGGCCATGCATTTTGAGGCCTGCACGTAGATGTACACACCTAATTCCAGGCAACCCCCTTGGAAAACGTCCGCTTACTTGTCTATTGTTGGGCACTCAACACTGGAGTCCTTTTGCAAACGTAGCTTTGAGACTTTCCCAAGGAAACGCAGTGACAGAGCTGGGGCTAGTGCTCCAGTCCCCTGGCTGCCAGCCCCATGCCCTGACCACTGGACAATGATGTCTCTCCGCAGTGTGGTGTGTGCTAAGGCAGGGAACGTTCTTAGTTACCCGCCACAGTTCATCAGCTTCCCAGCACAATCCCCTGTGCAAGAATAGCTGCTCATGCAGGATTTCTGGGGGTAGCCAAGAGTGGCACAGGCAGAAACCTTGCAAGAACATCGAATACCACGGGTCGGATTCAGATCTCAAACCAGTTTACACCAGTGTAAATCACCAACCCAATGGTGATCGTCACAGCTGTTCAAACCTGGCACACCTGCCCAGGCCTCACCTTTATTGTCATGCCAGATGTGGATTTTCCAGATGCTGCCCAGGCTTTGCTCCGTCGCAATCTGAAAAACATCAAGGCTGTTGCGGTGGAAAGCGTTCTCCCCATCCAGATGCCTGTGACCGCTTTTATTATCCATGCCATACAGGGTGATCCCCACGTGGGCGGTGGTACCTGGCAGGAGTTAACAGGAAGGCTCAGTTCGGCAGATCCCATCCAGTGCAGAATTCTCTCCCCCAACCCCATGACCAAATGAAATGGCCCTTTTGAGAGGCCACCCGGAGACCTGTAAGAAATTAATATGCTTGTATCCAAGGCTGCTGCTTGGCCTCCCCACACCCAGAGATAGGGTTACACACAGCTTGGAAGAGTCGGCTGGTGAGATCGGATTGATACATGGGCTTTAGTATGTTTCCTTCTGAGATGGGATGTGATCTAATGTTCTTTAACTTGCTGACATCCTGGTGGGAGGAGATGTTTGTTCTGGATGTTCCTTCCATGGAGTGGCTGAAAGGCTTGTTTTCTTTGACTACTCCCCGGGACCAGCTGCCAGACACTCCTTGTTTCACCTGGGCCACCTAAATGTCCCCTGCTCGCCTATCAGGATCCAGACGTGGTTACAGGGCATAGGCCTGCTCCCAGGGAAGCCACTGGAGCCAATGAGAGCAGCTCTCTGACAGTGACACCGTGGCATTCCGTGCAGACGCTCAATCAACGCTCCCAGGTTATATCCGCTTGCGTTTCAAAGTCCAAAGACGATATTTCTAGCGGTTGTGGCTGCTATCCCAGCCCAACATGTTAAAGCCCAGCTTTCTGCCTCCTTCCTCCTTGCTGCTAAGAGAGACTCAGGGACCAGAACGAAGTGATTAATTGTGCTGGCAATGCATATAATAAAGCAGGAGAGAATCCAACTCTCTGTCTTATGGCAGTGCTGGCCCCAAAGGGCCAGCTGGGAGTAAAATTCAACGCTCTCCCTGAAATGATCGGGAATCACGAGAGACACCTCAACAAAATGAGAGGAGGAGAAATCGTGCCTAATCCTGGGAGACGGGAGCAAGAGGGTATCATGTTGCGGAGCCATCGCCCCTGATTAGGAACAGCCACGGCTGGCAAATGGACATGGGCTCAAACCCCAAGCCCAGTATGAAGACCCATCCTGTGTGGATCATCTTTATATTTGACACTTACCTGAGGGCTCTGTTTTCTATTTATGCAGCGGCATCTCATCTTGCCAGCAAAGTCTCATTGAATTGGCCTGAACTGAAAACGTCTCAAAGACATACGTGGGCGCTTTCAGCAGAATTGCAAGAAGGAGCTGGACCATGGCAGAATAACTCAACCCCTTCCAGATCCTCAAGGGCCACCCTCCCTCACTGCTCCGGAGAACCCTAGGAAAGTTCTGTGCCATGCAGGGGGATTTGCTGTGATGCGGTGCCTAGAAGTCTCAAGGGACTAGTATGGAGGCTAACCCACAGTCAGCCGTTCCAGAGTGACGCTGTTACTGACCTGATCCTCGGCCCCAGCCGGTTTTCACCAGGATCTCATATTTATACATCCCGTTCTTCCCGCAGAATGGAATCACCCCCACTCGGTTAATGTCAATCAGGTCCAGTTTGTGCACAATCAGCATGGCCACAGAGTATGTCACAAAGCAGACGGCACAGGTCAGCAAAACAATGTAGTTGAGACCTGGGCCAGGAGCCTAAGCAAAATGAAAGATACTGAAAGATGCTTTTCCCTCCCCAAACTCCTCACTTCACAGCCTCACACTCACTGCCTCGCTGATTGCAATAACAATAATTAACAAATATCTTCATCTTACATAGTGACGTCCATCCTGCAGGCTCCCTAACTGGAGTACAGACTATGCATATGCATATCAATCACTTTGCTCACTGCTGAAATGCATCCACCTCTGGAGTGGAATTCAGCAGCTGTACGGGGCTTCATGCAGCAAAGTGCTGAGCGCCTGAAGCTCCCCTTGACGTCACTTACAGAGCTACAGAGAAGACTGAACTTCATCAGGAGGCACAGAGCACCTGGCAGGAGCAGCCTCTAAAAGTATAAAACAAAACTATGCAACAGCTTTGGGCAGGAAGGGAAGAACTCCGTATCCAACTGAAACAGTGGCAAAAACGATAAGGTAAGCAAAATGCAACCAGAATTTGGCCAGGACACTGGGGCTTAACCACCCTCCACTCAGTAAAAGTGCTATTGGCTTTTTAATGACTATAACTGGTCAGGATCAATGTGCGCGTCTCTCTGAAACAAGGTACCTCCAACAGCAAAGTTCCCAAGGGGACTATGCGGGGGCAACCCAGAGAGAGGAACACCACTAGCCTCAGTCTTGCTTGTTGGTCTCCCATCCAAGCACAGATCAGGCATGACTCTACTTAGCTCGTGAGATGTGTTGAGAGCAGCCATTGTTTTTTCAAGCGGGCACATTCAAAAGCCAGCGAGCTGCTAATTTATCCCATGTGCAGGAAAGCTCCAGTGTCTGGTGTTTGTTTTTACTCACAGGAAATATGAATTGGACGGAGTTTGGGGGAACAAACAGGCTGGCTCCGAAGGCTGTCAGGTGTTGGGTTAAGCACACAGCCTGATTCGGGCTGGTCTCCTCCAATGGGATGATGCCTTCCGTCTTCCACCTCATCTCCTGCTCACTGAAGTACTGGCACAAGGAGGTGTACAGACTCAGGGTCACCTCCACCGGCGACCAGCTGAAATGGTTTGTGATGTTGAAGTAATAGTCCTTGGTGGTGTCGTCAGAGCTAAAAAGAGAAGAGCAAGCATGGGGCTGCTTATGCGCCAGCCTCTGGCTGAGCCGCAAATCCCTCTTCTGAGCCGATCTATGGCACACAAGTGTCTTTCCATGCAAACAGCCTGCTGCATGGAGAGCAATGTACTCCATACCAACTTCTGTGCAAAGTGACATAGGAAAAAGGATCCTACTAATGGTGAGTAACTTACAGAGTCCTTTTGCTGTGGGGAAACCCATGGGCTCCCCAAGGCTTTGTTATTTATTATTTGTACATCTTTTAGTCATGGACAAGGAGCCCGGTGTGGTAGGTGCACTAATTATATGGCACGTTCTCCTCTTTTGCAAAAGCGAACCGGTGGTTAGACTTGCACAGCTACCCCACCACCCCTTAACTGCGTTACCCTGACCCATGAGACGCTTCCTGGGAAAGGATTGTTCGTTAAGACTATGAATCCCTCTTTGAGAATCTTGTGACCAAAAGCCCTGGAAGCCATGCTAAATTAGACAACAGTGGCTCTACCCTGGCCCCACCTATTCCCAGTCCACCAACTTGCTTCTTGGGTAACACCTAGGAGTGGTTCGTAAATAATGGGAGGTGTAAACATTTATTGCTGTGGGGAAAAAAAGAAAAGAAATATTTCAACTACTGAAGTTATATTGATGATTAATGCAATAAAAAAGAAAGGTGGGATCCCAAAATCTAACAGTACAATAATACTACTAAACATTTATATAGAATTTTGCATATTCAAAGTGCCATGCAGACCAGAACTATGTGGGCAGGTAGGTGAATGAGTATCAATATCCCCATTTTACAGATGGGGAAAATGAGGAACAGAGGCCAAAGGTGATTTGCGGAAGGCCACACAGTAAGCCAAGAGTCAGTATTAGAACTCAGGACCACCCAGTGCCTAGCTCACTCCTCCAGACCCTAAGTTTTGTGGCACTGTACAGTAGGTGATCTGTGCTGAACCATTAATGCATCTGTAACAGGGCAGTCTGTTCCTTTCAAGGGCCGTTCCAATGCACCAGCATTCTGGGATGTGTAGTTCTCTGAATCACATGTCAAAACTGGGAGCAAGCTCTGCTGGGAAACGGGGGCAGGTGACAGTCAAGTGACTGCAGTATATAAGGCAAGCCTCTTGCTTACTCAGGAGAGAGGTTCCAGGGAGAGGGCTGGTGTGTGAGCGGCCCCATAATAGCCGTCCAGGGACAGGCAGACCTGGAGCAGCCGCCAGGATGGGCTAAGGGCAAGGAGCCTGGCTGGGGCCTGGGAACAGAATCCAGACGGGGCTACGAGGTGAATGGAGCATGAGAAGGAAGAGGCCTGGGCAGCACATTAGCCGTGTGGGGTTGAGGTCTAGGTTGGCACCTGTGCTCAAGTAGGTGTTCCCTGAAAGGGAGGGGAGGAAGCAAGCCCCTTACTCAGCTTGCATCATCCGGGTGAAGGAGCCATTGAGTTCTGGGGAATGAGCCCCCTGCTGTGGTGACCCCCCCACAGAGGGAGGTGGTGCAGACCCCTTGCCTCAGTAGGGTGAATAAATTGAGCCTGGAGAAGGGGTGCTGAAGGCCGGCTTGGAGCTGGGGCGGGGCCGGGGGGGGGGTTTGAAGGAAGAAAAGGTTACTGGGAAAGGAGCTGCAGAGCTGGGAGGCTGGAGGCTGTTCCCCTGAGTGGGGAGAAGTTGGGCAGGTGCTCAATGGAGGGCTGGGCCCTAGTAAAGAACCTGGGGGGGAGGGTCATATTAACTACACTGGGACTCTGTCTGGGATGCTGCTTTCCCTGGAAGGAGAAGCCTCCTCCGTTTGGCCAGAAGGGGAAAAGCACCAAACTGTCCTACCAGTAGAGGGACGCGTATGCTGGCAGGAACCAGACTTCGACCGAGGGGAGACCGAGGCAGCAGATGTGCCTGACGCCAGAATGGGTAAGCTGCCCCCAAAAGCTTATGGTCTAAAGCCACGAGTGAGAGCCAGGGCTAGGGGTTACAAGGCGGGAGTGGGGGGGGGGTTCTCTTACATGGGGGAAATGAAGAAAGTGTAGCGCTTGTGGTCCCGTTTCTCCACAGCCTCCAGCCCGATCTTCTTGGCCGCGCTGCAGTTGTGCTCGCTGGGTGCAGGCGAGGGAGAGAGGTAGGCTGCGATGAACGGCTCCAGCTCGCTCGAGATGTAACGATCTGGGCAGCAAGGGGAAGAGAGGGAACGGAAAGCACTTTACAGACACCCAGCATGGCTTTACGTGCACAGGCCCCGATCCTGCTGACTTCAGCAGGTGTCTTGTTTGAGTGAGGACTGCTAGATTGGACCTGTGATGTTTACGCAGAAGCGACTGCGAAATGCCACTGCTCCTGGTACCACGTTCGCGTGTCAGCAGCCCGTACAGGTCTGGTCGGAAGGATCCATCCTGAGAGGTGCTGAGCACCTGCTGCTAAGGGTTTACCTGCCTTCCGTTCCCATTGCCCTCAGCAGGGAGGGAGGCTGCTCCGCACAGTGTGGGACTGGGCCTTTGGTGCTGAGGAACAAATGCTCAGTCCCGCTGTAACTTAATGTGTCACTAGCGCCAGAGGTAACCCATGGACCATTCTCGCCGCGCAGCTCAGTTCGCATTTGTGTACCATTAGCTCCAGCCCTCCAAGGGGGAAATGCTCCATTGGGGTCTGACCCTGTGTCAGAGAAGTCAGCGGGAGCCGGCCCGGCCCAGCCTGACAGTCCTCCTGGAAGAGGAGAGTGGCACCATGTGTGCAGGGCGAGAGCAGCCAGACAAAGGCAGCGTCTCCTGCAACGTCTGACATGCCCTAGTCAAACCTGGGGGTAGGTTCTGCCAGGTTGTTGCAAGGGCGCAGGGGTGAGAGTGAGGAACTTCCTCCACTACTTGTTGTGCAGCTTGCGGAAGGGCTGGGTGGAACGGCAGCTCCTGGGCTCAGAGGAATGCCGGCCGGCTCCCTAATTAGGCATCACCCTGCCCCTCTGCAGCAGGGAATGGGAATCCTAAGCATGATCCTCTAGTGGCTGGAAGTCCACAGAGACTATAATATACCAGTACTAGTGCAGCTAGACTCTGAGCATTTGGAAAGCATCTACCCTGCACAACGTCACTGGAACACACAGACTAAGCTCTGAGGCTGCTATATGCCAACAGGATTCTCCTTGGGCTCCAGTGGTTCAGGCCTGTGTTCCTGGAGAGCAAAGGATTTGAGCTCTAGTCCCACTGGGGCAGTGACTCCCGTATGGCTGTGACTTGCGGTGCAGCTCTCAGTTCTGATCCCTTGCTGCACCGTGCTCACTTGTTGTGCTCGACTTATCCCAGCCTTGTAAGATCTCGTTTAGCATGCAGGCCCCAGGTCCTGTGCTCTCTCAGCCCTTTAGATGAAAAGTATATTGAACAGCAGAAAAAGTGCAGTACCTACCATTTAAGACTCTGTAGGTGAGCTGGAAATGCAAGCCTGCTTCTCTGTTGTTGTTTTCTGTCGTAACAACTAGGTTCACCGAAGTCTTTCCCTGGATGATTGCAGAGCCAGCGGAGATGTTCGTCATGCCATTGTTCAATACCATCACAGTGATGGCCTTTTCTGCATCCAGACTCCCAATGGGAATCTGGGTCCCATTGTTGGTTTGAAACTCCATGGAGGCCACCTCTGTGGACACAGTGTAGTTGCTAATGTAGCCAAAGGGGAAGGGGTTGGAGTCCACCCGGAACATGACTTGGATCACGTCGGTCAGGTCGGAGAAGGTGGTGTTGAAGGCCTGGGGGATGGAGAACTGGCAGTCCAACGTGTTCTCATAGCAGAGCAAGTTGAGGGGATCAGACCGTTTGCCTTTTGCCACGATTTCTCCTCCCACCAGTTCAAGGGGCTCCTCATTCAGCACCCGGGACTTCATGAGGATGCGCATCAGGCTGGAGGACAGGCTGTAGGCTTTGGAAGCTACCAGCACATGGTGGGGATCGTTGCACAATTCCTGGAGTTTTGACTCCTGTGGAACTGTGTTGACAAGGTGTATTAAGTCCCCTGTAAGGAGAGAGATAAAACAGCAAACGGAAAAGCAGTGAGTACCACAGTCTAGGCAACATTCAACTCCTTCCCACAACCATCAGGAAAGCTCCTTTCTTACTGGCTTTCTACTGGACTACAGCATTGTGACACACGGCCTTCCGCAGTGAAAGCTCGACATCGTCCATAGCTACACATACAGCACTCTACCGCATCGCTGGGTTTTCTCTACCCTATGGTGTGGTTAAGATCTCAAGTTACAAGATCCTAATGTGGGCTTTCTCTTCCTTCTGCGAAAGGGCTGAGAGAAAAGTGGAAAGAGGGAAATAGACACATAGAACTAATACAACAAACCTCTGGAATTATAAAGAGTAATGCCATTACAAACACAGCCCACTGCAAGCATGCAAATAAAGGGCCTTTCTTTAAAGGTAATCTGAATGTGATGTCATCTGCCAAGGCCAATGAAGTTTCCATAAGCACATCTGCCAAGGATGAAGCCCAGCTTGATGCCGTGCATGGCAGCCCACACATCTGGAAGCTGCCTCTGTTATCCTCAAGCTTCCTATGAAAGGGCTGTTCCCTAGAGAATTAACTGCTTCATTAATTCAGGGGCTGTTGGTTTCAAATGCCCCAGCAGGGAACAGGCAGCAGCAGGATGACAGTGGGAAAATCAGACAGATGATAAATTACAGGTGGGGCCAACCTATGGATTCAGATTTCCCCCAAAGCCTGGAGGTGGGGGTGCTATTCAAATGGAGGGCTTGGCACTGGCCCACCTCTGTGATAAACACCAGCTGTAGCCAGCCTTTGCTCAGGACACCTCCCAGCCGGAAGAAGGCCTAAGAAATCTCTCCCAGCTTTTCTAGCCTGGTCCTTCCCTGATCATCTTTTAACATCTACCTTCCCCCCTCCCCCACGCAGTGACGTCCGTGCCCTGAACTCCTCCTAGAGAACATCCCCCCTGTTGCTTGGGGCCCCCCAGAACTGACCCGTAATGTTGAGGATGTTGTCTGCGATGGCGGTCGGTGTCATGATGCCCTGAGTGGTTTCACCCTGGAGGATGGCCATCATGCTTTCCAGCTTGCTCAAGGTCCCAGTCACACATGATCTGCAAAGAAGCTCCTTGCTCGCCACCTGCCATTAGAAATGCAGGCTAATCCAGCAGAAATCAATTCCGTATCAAAGGCCGTAGCAGCTGTGCATGGTACTTACTGGGTTCAGTCCTACAAAGTACTGAGCGCTCTGGCTCTGAGACTACTTGCATGCGTCTAGTTCAGCCTGTGCTTAGGAGCTCTGCTGGATTGGGACCGTACATCTATAATATTTCTCTTCAGATTGTACTTTATCTGCAACCAAGCCCATTTCCCCCCCCCCCCAATCATCTACTTACCCCTCTCGCTGGATACCATAATCTACCTACCTACTGGACGTCTAGAGTTCCCTACACTGTAGTAACAAGGTAACTCACACTGCAATAATAGCCTGCCTAGAGGTACCAACACAAGGCAGAGCACCTGGTTCTGACACCAGGAGTGAATGTGTCTCTTGTTGTTGCTTCTTTCAAGTTGTTACCTCAGGGTTGAATTTTACTCCTGTTGACGTCAACCAGAGGCGGTTGGGTTTTTTCCATTGTCTTCAATGGGAGCAGGATTTGGCTCTAACTGAATCCATCTCCAACATTCAAACACGTCCTAGAGCTGTGGGAGGGGTTTCACCACCCAGTTTTGATGACCATCCCTCCCATCCACTCCCAGATGTGTCTAAGAAACAGAACGTTCTACATTTTAAGCATAGGCTTGAGTCTGCAGCACACTCGGCAGGCTCGATGGGAATAATCTATGAAACACATGGAAGTGGTTACCACCACCCAGCTCCTCTTCTTTTTGTCATCAGAGGATTCACCACAGATGTCAGAACAGCTTGCAGCACGAAGGGGTGTGAAAGCCCCCATGGCTTGTATTTGTACATTGTTACTATACAGTACCATTTACAGAGATATAAGAGGACCTCTCTCTACCCTGGGGATCTTACTATCTAAATAGACAGCAGCAGCATGTAAGATGAAAACAGGTTACACAGAGCAGAGGAAGAAAGAGAGAGAACAGCAAAAAGGAGTCCTGGGAGAACTGCCCCAGGGAGACTGTTACCCAAGGAGCAGAGCTGACATGAGAGATTTTCCAGTCAGAAAATGTGGTTTTTGTCAAAATAGAAACTCTCTGTGGGGAAAAATGTCAATTTTAACATTTTTTTCCCTCCCCAATAGGGAGAATAGAAACAAGCAGGTTTATTTTGAGCCAACATTTCTAAAACCAGACAAAAAAGTTACTTGAAAATGATGCTTTTTGTTTCTATTTTTCCAATTTCAAATTTTTTGTTCTCTGCCTTTTTTTTTTTTTTTTGGTTGCTATTTCGGTTTTTTGTTCTGGCTCGGAGCCAAAACTAATCTGGGAATGTCAGACCTGACCCTGGGACAAAAATTCCATTCCCTGACCAGTGCCACTACAGTCCGATCAGGTGCTGGGTTGCAGGCTCAGGAGAAGAGGTCGAGTGTGTCTCGTGTTAGTAAAATCCAGCAGAGGAAAGTGATGTCTGGGGCCAGAGTTCAGGGCAGGGCCAGAGGCAGAAGAGAAAGCAGTGAGTTTGGCGAGAAGGATCCCAGGATAAGCTGTTTGAAGCAAAGGGGATCGTGGGACAAGAATTTTGTGAGTGATGCTCAGCAGTGGTATGTTTGATTCATGTCAGGCCGTATTCCCAATGAGCGAGCTTGCAGAGCTATTTATGGGTATGAGGGAGGTGCTCAGAAATTACGGTGATGGGCAAGCAAAGCCTCACAGCCCCTTCGAGAGGTAGGGGAGGAGGAGTAGCCGGCTGATTGGCTGGCCAGCCAAAGCCAAGCCCATTAAATAGCTGGGCTTATTCGTTTGATGCCCAGCTGATGAAATATAAAAAGCCACTCCTGAATCCAACAGGGAGCAGCCCCAGCACGGGGAAGCGGGGCCCATTGGCTAGGCTGCCACAATGTGGAATGCAATACTTCAAATGATGACAGGCTCAGAGCCTCCTGCTGCCAAGCAACTGTGCTAGGGCTGTTTCCAGAGGACAGGTATACATTTTTTGGTAACATCTGCAGCAGATGAGAGCACATATTCATCTCTCGCTGCCTTTCTAGAATGACAGATGAGAAAAGGGTGATGGTGATAATACTTGTACTTAAAGAGGGATGGATAGACACACACACGCCCTACAGATGTCGCCAACAAATTATAACTGTCCTCTGTATATGATCAATGTGTGTGTATGTGTGCGAAGCTGAAACAGAACAAGGAATGGCCAGAGCTACCCTTTCTTTCCATCACTCAGCGTCAGAGCAGAATGAGGCCGGAGGGTCCCATACCATGCATTGAGCAAGGGCAGCGGAGATCTGCTGGATATCGTCCACAGTGTTCACATTCAGGGAGATGAGGGTCTCGGTGATGTTCCTCCTCGTCCAGGTGCGAAGATCTTGTTCGTTCCTGGTCTCGGCTTCTGAGCGCATCAAGTGCTCGTGCTTAGGGGAAACAAAAGCAGCGGGGTTTATCACAATCTTGCAGAACAGGAGCTTTAGCACTCAACCACAAATTTCCATTGCAGCATTTAATGACTTTCCAGCTGGGAGTCTCTGATATCTGGGTTCTCGGCAGAGCTGCTGCTGGATACAATTTGAAAGTTAAAAAGCCTCTGCGTTCTGCTGCCAGTGGAAAATATAACTGGAAGCAGGACAGGAAACAGAGTCTCAGTAGCACAGGGTAAGAGGCACTCTTGCAGCGCCTGCGAAAGAGTCTTCTCCTCTGCAGCTTCTGCCAGCTATGAGAACATTCTTGTCTCTCTCCATGGTCACTTTTCAGAGCTGCTGTGTGATCATATCAGATCTCTTCTCTCTTGCCTGTGCTGTGGTTCGGTAGGCCCAGCTTTCAACAGAGCGTTCCAGTCTAATTCTGTGATTCAAATAAGCACTTTAATAGGACACCCCTGTTCTGCAGGCTTAAACTGGTACCCAGCTGCATACAACTGGCGTTTACACAACAAAGCACAAAGCGGGGCACCCAGGTGGAAATCCGGAGGCTTTGTGTAAGTGGCCATGTTTTGAAAATTGGGCTCCCCAACTGCACAGTGACTCTTTACAGCATTTTAGGGATACACAATTTTATGCTATGGACAATCCAGGTGGGTTAGATTGGCACAGGCATCTGTGCCCACTGTACTGCCATGGAATAGTCCATGGCTGGAGGTCAGGGCCTGTTCCCCATTCACCTAGTGGTCTGGGATTGCTGAGGAAGCCGTGTGCTCAGTCCTTCAGGGATGGGGAAGGGGGAGCCCTGTGGTGACACCCTGAGGGACCAACACTGATAGGCTTCCAAGGATGGGACGAGACTCATCTGCGGCACGAAAGAGGGATCCACAAAAGAGTATGGGAACTGGGCACCTGCTAGGACTGGGCCCTGAATGAGAGATGAGTGACAATGAACAAAGGGGCTGTGGGGGTAGCCTGGGAAGATGATGTTAAGAGAGAAAAGTCATGAGTTGTACTTTGTGGCCACGTGTCGGGCACCTGTGGAAGACCCTTTGTGCAGGTGCAGAGCTGTTCTGCTGACTCATCCTGGCAGCTGGGCCAGGCAGGTCTCAGTGGCACCCACACAGGTGTATGAAAGGCTAGCGGGAGAGGGAGAGCCTAGCGGCAGCCAGCCCAAGGAGAGCTCAGGATGAGGTTTCTGTGGGTAAGCGCAGTGTTTAAACTTGGGGTAGAAGACAGTGAGGGAAGGCTGACTGAACCCGGAGGAGGAAAGTCGGCTACGGGGGTGGGCGCAGGCTACATTTCCCTCTCCTGGGCCTACTTTGGCGGCCCCCGCTCTCACGCACATGTCACGTGACGGGGACGCACTCAGATCTCCAGCACCCCACCACAGGTCTCCAACATCTACTAATTTACTTGGGAGACCGGGTGAAACCGCCAGTTCACCTCAGGCCCAAGGTGAGCTCATGGACTGGAAAGGAGTGGCCAGCCAACCACAGCTGGCGGCAGGGCAGACAGCGTTACTTTACCTCATTTAAGATGGTGATGAGGGCCAGGGAGTACTCGATGACGTGCTGCGGGTCCCCCTGCTTCACCAAGCCCTGCAGCACAGTGTCAGTCTGATTGTAGAGCCAGTGAGAGAGGCTGTGGACTCCGGCCGCGGGGGCTGGCAGGGTGATGGTCATGGAGCTGGAAGAAGAAGAGGCAGTCGGTTTGTAAAGAGCTGACTGTCGAATGGAACCAAGGGCAATGGGCGTACTCCCCACCCCGGCCTTCCCCTGGTAGCTCCTAGAGAGAGTCCTTTGAGCGTCACCGACTTCTGCTCGGACCCCAGGCTTGGACCAGCTCTTCTCAGACCCCAGTCCCACCGGAGAGGGAGGCCTGTTTCTGAATAGTTGAGATAAGGGGCCAAATTCCTCCCTCATGTAACGCCACGTAACCACTGGATTGGCACAAGGGAAGTGTTTGACCCTGGGAGTAAGATCTGGGTTCAGTTTTAGGGAGTTTAAGAAGCACCCAAGAACTGTCTTCAGTCCACTTCTGCCTTTGGCTTAGTCCTCTGGGCTCTAAGGGATACTCGTGAGCTGGATTCTTAAACCCTTAGATTGTAGAGGAGTCAATCCTCTAGGATCCAGGGGGCCCTCGTAGCTTGGATTTAGTCCCCTGGGGCCCAAGGTGCATGGGGTTAATGCACTGGGGTGGCTTGTGTTTATTCACTACTGAATGAAAGATGAGATTGTCAGAAATCAGCCCATGCTGGGACCTGCCCCAGCGATCCCCAGATCCAAACACAGGAGTGCGCCCACTTGAGCTAAACGCAGCTCTGCCCCTGCTTGTCAGCAGTGGGACACCAGGTTATTCCAAGCACCAGCTCCCTGCTGGTTCCAACTTTCTTTAAAGGGTTCTGGCTGCAAAGGAGGGGCAGGATGCAGAGCGCGCTCGCAGCACAAGCAGGGAGATCTCCAAGATAAATGGGCCAGGTATCATTTATTCATTTGGCTTTCCCTGTAAACCATTAATTATAATGCAGCCATTTGTTATGGGTATGAAAGGAACATTAAATTCTTCTCCCACCCAACTGAAATGCGAGTCAGTCACAGCCTCTTTGTCTGATGCATTGCCCATGAACAATGTTGCTTGTAAAAAATAGATAGATGGATCTCCCTGAAAATGACACCATGCCTCAGAAGGGAAGCATGGCTGTGAATCAAGATGAATGGCCTGGCCACGGGAATAGTAACTCAGGTGAGGGGAAATGTGTGTGCAGGGGGCTTTTTGATCTTTCTTAATAAGGCAGCTTTCATCAAGCTTTACTGGTCTAGCGGCCACGTCTATTAGGTGAGAGGTAAAACTTAAGACGTACCCGAAGAGGTCTTTAAAAGATTTCCAAATGGTGCTTGTGTTTGATTAAAATGAATAAGGAGAGGAAGTGCGTGGGAAACACACACACTATCGACAGATGGTTAAAAATAGAATGAATTTTTGTGTGTGTCTATCAGAGAATTTAGTGCTTGTGAGGACCTGAAGGAAGTGTGAAATCCTTCCTCTACCTACAGACCAGGCATGACAGAGGCAGCTGGAATGCAAGTTCCCATCCCACTATGCCTTAACTCAGTCCTTGAGAGACCACCTGTAAGGACTGGAGCTCAGTCTCTGTGGCCCAATATTTCACTAATGCTGTGTCTGCCAGCAGTGCTGGGGGGTTTTCTGAGGTGGGCACGGTTGCAGTAGGAATCCAGCTTACAAAGGATCCATAGCCCTCGAACAGACATGCCCACTGCACAGCTGTTAAGCCACACTGTTATCCAGCCAAGGGCCCAGGTCTGTGATTAGGGCTTCCTGGATTTTGTGCCCAGTTCGGCCCCACTTCACCATGTGGGGCTGTGGGCCTGTTGCTTCCCCTGTCTGTAATAGGAGCACCTTACCAGTTGAGGGCCACAAACGTAGCTCCCAGCTGATCCTGCACGAGCACGGAAACATACACAAGGAATCTGTTTGCACTGAAGCCGGGTGGGAGGAAGGCACTGTGCTCAGAGCGGCTGCCTTTGTACATGCCAAACTCCTCACATTGCCCCACTTTGCAGCGAGTGGCCAGGAGGATGTACACCAAGGGGGCCTCTTCGTCCTCCGTGTCTCTCCAGCCTGCAAGCCAAGCACACCGGGCAGTGTCAATGGGATCCGAGCGCACCTACCAAGCCAGGCCTGTAGCTGCAGCCATTGTCTTAACCACTAGGGATCAGGCTTTTAAATCCATCATTAACAGGGGCCCGTGCCCCTCTTCTCCTCTCTGCTACTCTTATCCCTTGATTGGCATAATACTGTGCAGAGTTACATTGCTGACTCCCCCTGCCTTTTTACCCTCATCACTAGGGCCCTACCAAATTCATGGTCATGAAAAATGCATCACGGATCGTGAAATCTGGTCTCCCTGCATGAAATCTGTGTGCTTTTACCCTAGACTATACCGGTTTCACGGGGGAGACCAGCGTTTCTCAAATTGGGGGTCCTGACTCAAAAGGGAGTTGCCGGGGGGGGTGTCACAGTATTGCCATCCTTCCTTCTGCGCTGCCTTCAGAGCTGGGAGGCCGGAGAGCGATGGCTGCTGGCCAGGCACCCGGCTCGGAAGGCGGGGCCCCACCAGCAGCCGTGCAGAAGTCAGGGTGGCGATACCGCAACCCCCCCCCACGATAACCTTGCGGCACCCCCCCACCCTCTCCAAACTCCTTTTTGGGTCAGGGCCCCTACAGTTACAACACCCTGAAATTTCAGATTTAAATAGCTGAAATCATGAAATTTGCAATTTTAAAAATCCATGATTCTGAAATTGACCAAAATGGACCATGAATTTGGTACGGTCGTACTCATCACCCCATCCACAGTGAGTGTCCCTCTGCTGAGATACAAAGCTCTGATCTGGATTTCTCTCAAGTTTAGGGGTTTTCTGATGTGGATTTTGGGCCCTATAACATTTGGTCATAGAGTTTAAGGCCAGAAGGGACCACTGGACCATCTGGTCTGATTTCCTGTATATCACAGGCCATCAACCCCTAGCCAGCACTCACGGCGTAAACCCAACCACTGAAATGAGACCAAAGTATCACAGCCCACAGGAGACTAGACTAGTATGTGCCACGGGCAGAGGATAGGCAAGACCAAGGTTCACCAAGGCCCCTGCAATAGCAGGGATGATATACCCAGATAATCCTGGCACGCGACCCGCACCCACACACTGCAGAGACAGGCAAAATTCCCCAAGGTCCCTGCCAGTCTGACCTGGGTGAAAAGTCTTTCCTCGCCACACCTATGGTAATCAGTTAGACCCTGAGCATGTGAGCAAGAACCAGACAGCCAAGCCCCTGAGAGAGAGGATGCTTGGTGCCACCTCAGAGTTCTGGCCAAGCCACCCCATGGCCCAGCTTTGGCTGTGGCCAGCCTTGATGCTTCAGAGGAAGGAGATCAACAAAAAATCCCAAAACAACCTAGAATACCTTGGGGGTAAAATATCCTTTCCTGTCCCCCTAGAGGTGGCCAGTTGAAACCCTGAAGCATGAGCTTTTAACCATTCAGGAGACCTAAAGAAATCAACACGCCACCATGGGAATAGCCACATGCTCCCCATAACTCAAGAGCAATAGCAAAACCAGGACGATTCTGTTGTACTGCAGAGGCTGAATACAGCACATATCCAAGGTCCCAGACTAGATATAATGTCCTAGACAAAAGCCCTGTAAAAGCTGCTATTAACCTGAGACCTCAGTGCAGGCCTGTTATAATCCAACAGAGTATGGCCCACCAGCTTTGGGAATGAATGGTTTATTACACTGGATATAGCCCACTGATCTGCATTTTGTATCCAGCACTTTGTCCCTGCTTAACAAATATTACTACTAATAGTCGCAAACCCTATAATGCCAAAGGTACAAAGTTTTCATGATTAGTGCTGGCAGATAAAAATATACCAGACGTTAAAATCACATCATTCTGATTACCTTCTTGCTTTCCCCCCTGATTTAAGCTGCAATGTGATCACCATCACAAGAATGACTAGCGCTAGAAACCAATTTGCCCTACCATCGGAAACATAGAATCCCAGCATTCATGTACAATAAAGCATGAATCTCTAATACTAATCATGAGGGGGAGAGTTTCAGAGACACTTACTTGCTGGCCCACAGCAATATGTTACAGGGACCAGTCAGCTTTTTGCATCATTGGGCTAGATATTTTTGTCTCTGACTGCGTCAGAAATAGCTTGCAGGAAAGGAAACTATATTTGTGTAGGGAAAGCAGAAAGAAATCATTCAGGCCACATTTTCAGAGTGGCCTCTAAGTGGTGTCCAGTTTCTGAGTTGTTTGAATGTGGGTATGTAATTTTGGGCACTCACTTTTTTCCCTACTCCCAAAACCCAGGTTTATACACACAATCCACGCGCACTGACTGTCTTAATAGGCATTCGGCCACTTGATTTAGATGTGGAAAATCTTGCATAAATGAGTTTTAGAATGTGCATGCCTGGGGTACAAAAATTGAGCGGGGCCTGCAGTCTGGTACTTGCAAACCTAAGGGTCTGCTTATGAAAAATCTGACCTATCCACAGGTCCCTTTAGGAATAGAACTGGAGCTGAGAGTAAAGAGCGAGAATTCTGTGGGACCAAGGAATACATGCATCTGGACAACTCACTTGGTGTGTGAAACACACTCACCGATGAACAGTAGAGATGCCAGGCTAATCTCTGGCACTGTCACGACCATGCTCTCACCTGCACACTCAAAGTGAACCTTTGCCATCAGTGCCCTGACTTCTCCGTTCGGAGAGAGCTGACACAATCCTCCAATCGGGGGCCGGTTCGGGAGCAGGTCAATGGAGGCGTAACCTTCCTCCCCAGTTGTGAGGTCAGTGATGTGAAGGGTAAAGGTGTATCCTTCCCCATCCTTTAAGGCCCCTGGCCGTAAGACCAGGTTCATTCCGGTGTTGCCAGTAGAAGTGGTGGTTTTGTCCAAGATGAGAGATTTGTTTTTAAAGCTATGCGCTGCCCATCTCTACAGAGACGAAGGGAGAAAGACGGGAGAAATTCTGGTTTAATCTGAAGTCATGTCCCTAAAATGTTTTCAAACTGAGTCTATAGGGGAAAAAATAGAATCTAGGGGCAAAGGCTGCCAATTTTGCAGTTGATAATTCAGCTTTGTTCTCATGTGCTGAAGCAACAAGAACTGGAAAGCTTCCAAACTGTCTGGTGGGAATATTTCCACTGAGAGATCCACTTTCGTCTCTGGGATTACATCATCCACTGACAAAATATTTCATAATACAGAACACAAAACACAGGAAATCAAATTAAACAGTGGTGGAATCTCCATGGGATAACATTGCTTTTACAGGCTGCAAGTTGAATGTGTCCTGCATTGTTACTGTCAATAGTACAAACGTACAACTGTGACAACGAGACACACCGAGACGGGCAGCCGGAAAACACCGTGCAGGAAACCGCTCAGCTCACTGGGGATACAGAGCAGCGTTTCCAGTGGGACTTTCACTTACAAAGCCTGTTTCATCCAACAGCATATAGCCCAGTACGCGGATGGGAGGGGAATGTGGCTGGAGGTGAAGAAAACAGACTGAGCGATCTATGTTTCAACTCCCTGAGCCAGAATAACTCAGACAGGCCACACAGCAGAGAGATGAAAACACTTTAAAATCTCAATCAAAAGGAATGTGAAATGAGCAGGTGCATGAGCCCAGGTTGGCGGTGCCGTGGCAGGGGCATCCTGGTTTGAATGGCCCTGGGGTAGCGTTGAGCCATTCTGATGGAGGGAGGCCACATTTCCCCAACTCCCGGGGCCGTTACTGAGAAGATCTCGGCACTGGGACACGATTCGCACAGCCTGGGGAAGACCCGTATGGGCACGGCTAGGGGAAGGCCCACTTGGTGGAGCTGCTGCTGACAGAACCTGAGCGGCTCAGTTCGAATGGCAGCTGCAGCAAGCTTGCGGGCTCAACAGCGGCAAGGCTTTGCATGACGTGGGGGGCTCTGTGATGGGGTCAGTGCCCCTCCCCGAGGTTCACTGCAAACAGAACCTGCTCTAAGAAGCTGACGCGTCACCCCCTTGGAGGTCAGTCTTCTTGCCGATTCACTGGGGACTGCAGTGGACGAAGGGGCCACACTGAGCAAAGCCTCAGAGCCCTGCTGCTCCATTTCTCTTTGGGAGTTCACGGCGATGGTGTTATTTTTTACTTAATTCTACCCCTCCCGCCCCCGAAAACGAACTGGATCGGTTTTTGCCTCCAACAGCAACAGCTTCCCCTTTACCCCAAGCTTGGAGTCATTCTGGCAGTTCCTGCAGGTGCCCTCCAGATAGACATAGGAGCTCTTGCTGACTTCGTAGACAGACTGGGCTTTGCAGGAAACACATTCTAGGGACACAATGGGGACCCTTCCATTCTTGATCAACACCTACGAGGAGGGAGGAAGAGCAAGAGAACAGCTCAGGAGATGCCCATTCCATGCCTGATGCAACCAGGACACATAGAAAAGCCAAAGGGGATATTGCTATCAACTTCTAACTAGTTTGCAAACGTCCTTGTCCCCAGTTCTCTGCACTGGAGTTCACATCATTTCAGCATGACATGTATTTAGGGTAAAATTCACCCCTATGCAGAGGGACCAGCACGGGGCCTGTGCATGGCTTAAGTTCACTTAAGGATTCCCAAAGGGTTTTAGTGGGACAAGCCATGAATAAGCCACACAGGGATTTCACCTTTAGGGCCTAGATACTACGCTGCTGGGATCTCTGGAACTTCCCTACATTGATCCAGTCTAGACTAGGTGATTTTGTTTTGCCTTATTTTTTAAAATGGGTTGCTTTGGAAGTTTCTGTGTATTGTCCTGGGTAGGATGCCAAGATGGCTCTTGTGGTTTTACTAACATCTGTTGCTAAACTGAGGCATCCTTCAAAAAAAAAAAAAAAAAAATCCCTCTGACCCCACTTAAGACTAACCTGTGCTCTGTAGAGAAGACATCTAACTCGGAGAGGGAAGGTCTATTTGGATCTGAGATCTGGCATGCATCTGGCCCTGGAAACTTCTGCAACTCGCATTGATTTTCTTTGGGCCAAATCTTTGGCCCTTCGTCTGCAGCTGCAGCAAGCCCTGAGCCAGTGAAACTGGCTGTGAAAAGGGGGAGGCAGGACTTGCTTGCCACAGAGCCCTGAACAATGAGGGTTGTCTGTCCTCCAATATACAGAGGGTGCGGGGCAGGCCCCAGATCTGTGCCTGCCTAGGCCCCTGGGCATTCTTCCCAATGGAAGGGGAATGCGGTGGGCCCTGGTCCTGCAGCAGCATCTTCCTCCCTTGTTCCTGCTGAGATCCTCAGCGCTCAGCCTGGGCCTTTGTGCTGGGTCTCAGGATCTGGCCCTGGGCCTGCATGGCTCTGTTCAGTGCATTCTTTATGTCACTACTTCGTATACACTGTCAGCATCCTAAATACATTTTTAAATGCCCTTGAAAGACATGAGAGATGATAAAAGAAGCTAGAACAGTAGCTCCTACTGACTATCAAATGCATTTTGCTCTGCAGTGCAGGACAGCCAGCTTTTCCACAGGACGGTGTGTGGTCCCAGACGTTCCTCTCAACTTCACCGCCTACACCTGGTTACCTCTAACATGCCTCTCTGACAAAGCGCTGTACGGGATAAGAACTTTAGCATCCCCGTTCCCTCAGAGCCCCTGCCTAGTGGAGTATTATCTCTGTACTTCTCCTAAACGCCTTTAATCCCTTACCAAGCAGCACTGTATGGAGTTTGCCTGGGCCCTAGCATAATAAATATTCTGCATGTAAAGAGAGGCAGTAATGAAGACATTGTTTAATATGGCAGGCTGTTAAAAGAGGAGAAGTGTTCCACCAAGTTAAAGGGAAGAGCATTGAAGCTTCCCTCATTCCTCCAGCCATTGCAAATTTCCTATGACACTGGATTCATTGTTTTGCGCTCATGCATGGAAAGCTGATAGTACGGAATGTCCTTGAAAAACTATCAATTTAATTTTTTTTTCTTTATCCTCCGGCTTTGGTTTAAAAATCCAGGCAGTAAGAGTTTCCACTTTCAGACTAACTACATCTCTTAATTGCCAAACGCACCATGATGAATGTTTCTGACATAAGCCATAAGTGCTGTCGGACTGCAAATGCGCTCTGTGTTCGGTTTAATCTGACATAAACAACATGCCCTGAAAAAAACTTCCTTTTCTTTTTTAAAAAGGAAAAAAGGGTAGGAACGATTGACAGCAAAAGCAAGTACCAGCCCTCCGAAAGCTCGCCCTTCCGGTGCCAATTTGGAAAGGGCACGGTACTGTTAAGTGGAAGTAGGGCTGGGGCACGACATTGCTGGGCACATTGCTGGATCAGTTCTTAACCCCGTGGGCTGCAGTATCCTCGTATTCTCCGAAGGCAGATCAGCCACTGCAAATTCAGAATCTGATCTGCTGTGAACTGGAACCATGTATGATCAGGTTATTAACATGGTGCATGCAGACAAAGACAGAGAGAGACAGCGTGATCTTAATAAAAGGCCTGCAGGAGGAAACACAACAAAACACATTACCATTGTCAGCAGATATGCTGTCCCCTGGAAAATTAAAGTGTGTCCATCACTGAGTATATGGTATATGCCCCCACGAGGGCCATGGACAATGAGAGCTTTAGGACTCTCGAGGGATCAAAGGCAAATCTGTCCTTCAATCTCTTTCTGCTTCCTCCCCAATTAATGCAGACAGCAGCAAGCTCTACAGTCCCTTGTTACATTTGTTACCGTCCTGCAAAGTGGGGTCAGGAGAGGAGCAGGACTCGGGACGTACCTACGACTGTGGGTATCCCAAAGGTCAGCCAGCCATACACCTTTCTGGAGTTTTGCTTGGAAAGGGGAGTGTGACCCTGCGCCTTGTCCTGGTGCCCAGGAGCGGACATAAGCACAGTGAGGACAGAGGTACGTACGGTTTGATTCGTAGACTCGGGATTCAGACCCATCTTCCAGACACTGAGGTCGAACGTATATTCCACATCTGCTTCTAGTATGGCCTTGGAAATGGTGATGACCCCTCCTGTGGCACTGAAGTGCAGAGAGCACCCTGCAGGCGAGCTCTGCTTGCGAGGAGAAAAGATCATTCAAACCCTCCTTTGCACTGATGCACGTTGCATGAGTCCATAGCCAATACGTTCAGTTTCAGACACCATCGGTTCTTGCTATAAATTACCCATTTCAACCCCCTTGTTTGTGGCTGGGGAGGGAGGGTGGGGTACCATTAAGCACACTGTATTTTCCATCAGGTTAGTAAACAACTCTTGGAACACGCCTATATTTTGGCTGGCCTCCACATTTTTAAAAAAATTAATTCTGTATTAAATATCTTGTAAATATGCTAACAGAAGGCAGACAAATGAGAGTGCTTACATTTACACAAAGTCTGATGCACAAACCTCCATATGATTTCATTTAGAATGTGGAAACGACCGAAAAAAAGGTCTTTCAATAAACAAGACAGTCTGATGTCAACAAGACAATATTAATCGAGAGAGTTTGCCATGAGACTCTGAAGGGAGATCCTTTCTTATTGGTGGCCAAGACTGGTTTGATGTGTCGACCAGAGAGGAACAGTGTCCTGTACCCAACTGTTATTTGGGCTTATCCTTCAAAAGCTTCATTTGGCTCCTGCTGAACTTGAAGGTTTTTAAATGACTCTACGGGGAGCAGGATTAGAACACAAGCCTGCTAGACTGTAAATTGGTACCCGTTGTTGTGATGCCTTCGGAAGATTAAAGCAGCAGCAACACCAGAACGGTTAACCAGAGCCAGGTGCAATGGCAGATGAAGGGAGAGCTCCTTGGCTCACTGCAAATGCTCAGGACGGGGCACAGGAATACCGTATAGGCACGATAAGCCATCACAAGGAATCCTGCAATTGATCTTGTGCCATTTTCCTGAGCTGGATACTATGCCATCCCCACTTCCCTCGTGACCCTACTGAGAGTCCGTTACAAACTCTTCCCTTTATGCCTTCCCAACCCAGACACAAAAATGTGTTGAGTGTGTGCACAGCGCCTAGCACAATGGAGCCCTGATCCTTGGTTGGGGTCTCTAGGTGCTACTAATTATCACCGTCTTTTTCAGTGCAGATTCTCTTACCTTGGAGCAAGATGTGCAGGACCACCGGTAAAGCAGTGGTGTCTGTTCACCATCGTCCAGGTTAGGGTCATAGGATTTCTCACCGTCCAGGATTAAGTCCCGCGTGTTGGACCACACACGGTAAGATCCCCCGTTGATGATTGGGACCAGCTTACTCGGCGTCACAGTCACATTGGCAAAAATGCTCTTGGACAGTGGGGTGTCTCCAAAGGAGACAAAGAAGACAAAGCAATAGTTCCCTACTTCCAGGGCCAGCTTGGGTATGACCAGCTGGGGTCTGCTCAGGTCAACGCTCAGCAGGTGGACCCTGTCGGTGTCATCGAAGTGCAGGCAGCTGGGTGCTCTGTAAATCTCCCACAGATACTCGGTCTGGTACTTGACACAGCCACGGAGGTCAATCTGTGCCTCCAGGTAGTTCCTCTGGGACCGTTTCATGACTACTTGTGGCGGCAGGGCTAGCTCCACCTCTGGCTCCTCGCACTCCAGGACTCTGACGGTGACTGTGAGATGGGCTGTCATGAAACTGACAAGGTTGGTGGCGTTCACCTCCACCTGGTAATCTCCGGCCTTCAGGTAGGAGTAGTTGGCAGCTGCCACCTCTGTGATTTGAGATGGGGAACCATCGCCAAAGTTCCACCAGAAAACAACTTGCCATGCGCTGGGCTGCACGGAAGCTTCAAACAACACCGTCCTGTTCACAAAGGACAACGCTGGCTTAAGGGAGACTTGAACGATTGGGTCTTGCACTTGGATCACTCTGGTGATGTTCAAACTCCCTAGGTCATTGAAAGCACTGAGATGAATTTCTAGCAGCCCTGGAGCCACTGGAGTGTAGGAGACACTTCTGCCTGCCAAGCTGACCAGGGCACGGCCGTGCTCTTTCTGCAAGGAGAACTGCCAGGAGTACAACACCCGTGAGCCACTCCCAACCTGGGCGGTGAAGGTCTTTTTTGTTCCTGTTGGGATACCCTGCTCGCAGCAGTTCACAAGCCTTACGTCATGGATGGCTTCCAGTACTGAGATAAGCACCTGTGCGCATGCCTTGCTGACTTGGTTCTGCACCATCACCACCACGAGGTAGTCACCGCTCTCAGGGAACTCATGGGTGAACCTAGATCCATTAAGCACCACAGAGTAGCCCCCACTTATGTTCACCGAATAGCTCACGGAGGAACCAGAGGACATGCTGATCACAAAAGAAATCTGTTCCCCAGGCTCCACAACCTTCTTGCTCACAAAAAGCTCCAGCCCTTCAATCCTGTCCTGCACTGTGATATTCTTGCTGGCCACAGCCCAGCTGACGTCATTGGATACATTCAGATGGACAGAGAAAAAGCCTGCCTTAGGGAATGTCACCGCCACAGTCTGTCCAGTCTGCAAGCCTTTTGGCAGCTCCCACAGCCATGTCACGTTGGTCCCCTTTTCGAGTTCACCGCTGAAGGTTACCACGGAGCCTGATGGGACGTAGCTGCAGTCCACCTCTGCAGTCCCAATCCTCAGCCCCACTACGGGTTCCTGTATAAAGATGTAAACCAATGCATTAGTGGAACTAATCTTGTTTTCAGCTGTGACCGTGATCGCTGTAGCTCCAGGTCTTTGGAAAGAGTGTATGATGAAGGGTACAATGGTTTCTCTCCTGTTACTATCTTCCAGGTGCCAAATATATGTTAGGCAAGTGCCCGTGGTTACGCCGGTGCTTATGTTAACAGAGGCGTTTACGGCAGCCGGGTTGGGGAAGGCAGAAGGTTTTAAAAGGCCGATGCTTTCAATGAACTCCACTGTCCTGTTAACAGCTGTGCTTCCCAGCATGTTAGTGGCTTTCAGATGGATCGTGTAGTTCCCAGCCTCCAGGATGCTCAAGGAGAAGATCTTCCCACTGAATGTCTGCACAGGGGTGCTGTCCTTCAAGGCCATCCAGCTGTAAGAGATGTTTGTCCCATCTCTCACCGCTGCCTGCAGATGAAGAGTTTTGTTGGTTGGGAAATAGGCATCCTCCACGAGGTCGCTGCTGGCGATTTGCAGTCCTTCGATCTGTTGCAAGACGTAGACGAAGATGCTGTCCTGCAGGGAGCTGATCTCGTTCTCCGCTGTCACAATGACGTTAAAAGTCCCCACGGACCGGAATGTGTAGGAAATGGTGTAGGAGCCTTGGATGGGTGTGCACCTATCGCACAGGATCCAGGAGTATCGGCTAGCGTTGCCGGCTAGGAGAGTGGCTACAAAGCTCACTGACCCATTCAGTGGCACCATAGTCCTGCTGGCATTGATGGTAAGCCCCTGGAGTCGCCTCTTCACGGTGAGGTTGAGCCTGGTCTCATAGAGGCTCACATCATTCCAGCCAGTCAAGCTGATAGTGTAGTTGCCAGTATTGTTGTAAGAGTGGGTGACGATCGGTCCAAGCTGGTTACAGCCATCCCCCATGTCCCAGCGGTAGCTCACTTTGGTCCCATTCCCACTGGCGGAGAACAGATAGATCTGGTTGAGCTCCAAAACCCTTGTCCCGTTGTATTCAATCTTCGCTACCCCAACTGGTTCTTGGACTTCCACAAAAGCCGTGTCATTGTTGAACGAGACATTGTTGGAGACGGTCACTGTGACCAGGTAGACCCCTGTGCTCTTGTAAGTGTAACTCACTTCAGTCCCTCCGGACCTAGCGGAATCATTGGTCCCAAAGTCCCAGTGGTATCTGTACTGGTACAGAGGCATGGCACTGACCTGGAAGTTGCTCTCTTTGCCAAGCCGCACAAACTGCTTGGGGGGTCGGAGCGTGACATTGGCAATCTCCGGCTCCACACAGACGATGGTGAAGTAATGCGCCTTGTTAACACTGCTTGAGAGAACCAGGGAGAGAGCGAAGACTCCGCTGTGGGTGAAGTTGTGTGTCACCACGGGGTCCCCATAAACAGTGACGTTGGATGAGCCATCTCCAAAGGTCCAGTCGAAAATGTAGTTTTCGGAGTTCCCCGAGACGTACGCGGTGAACTGCACGTTGGGGTGTTCCAGGATGCAAGAGGAAGGCTCTATTTTGAGGACCTCCAGGACGAATACCCGGACAGGCACAGTTTGCGAAACAGAGTTCACAGGATTCACAGCTGTCACATTAATAGTGCAACAGTTGACATCCTTTTCATACCTATGTTCGACTGCTGGCACTGTGCTCATCAGTATGGTCCCGTCCCCCATGTCAAATATCCAGGTGATGTTGTCTCCTGTCTCCACTGAAGCATTTATTGATATTGAGATGCCTTGCTCTGCCACCTCGTCGGATGAAACTCTCAACCCAGTGATCTCTTCAAAAACGCGATAACGCTGGTGTGTCTCGACGCTGCTAATCGTGTTGTTGGCGGTTAGGCTGACGTTGTACACCCCTCTGGTCTGATAGCTGTGAGTCGCTCTAGGTTGGCTCTCCAACAGCAGCGAGGAGCCATCCCCAAAGTCCCAGGTGTACCAGACTCCATAGGGGGATGGCAGCGGATAGGCTTCGAAGGTGACAGGCCGGCCTACGACCAGGACATCTGCATCTGCTTCTACAGTCAAGTCAGTCAGGTAAGTGTGGATGTGAACCGGGATCTGGTAGGTGAGGTTCTCAAAACTGTTTGACACTAGAACAACCAGGGTATATTCTCCTGCAGATGAAGAGAGCAGAACACGGGCAGTCATGTTGGAGGGGTCCAGGCAACCACCACAGGCCTTAACGGCCACAGGGGAAAGGTTAAAAACATTCCTGGTAGACACTGCTCTGCTTCTGCACCACACACACACACTTTATTTCTCTTTTTTTTCTCATTGCCTCTAAGGGTGCATGGAATGGGATGGGCATGTGTGGTTAGCCTGCCTATATAAGAAGCCAGCCTGGCATTTCTGGAGGCTGATTCTTTTCCTGTTCATCCACATAATAGTGGATGGACAGGGCAGCGGCCATGCATGCTGCTTCTGCCTGTGCCTCACCCCTGACCCAAACCCGGGACGTGAGGGAAGTTCAGTCTCCACGGGCCAGTCTGCTATTGGCCTCTCTCCTGAGACTGCCAAAAAGGAAATCTGCTTGTGCCAATGAGGGTAGTTTCTATGATGTGAACACACATCCAGTGAGATTATTGGATGGTGACACTTTCTGCTCACTTCCAGTCTGGGCTAGATTTGAACCAGCGATCCAGAGGAGAAATTAAGCTGTGAACAGGTTCTCACAGTCAGAGATGATGTCTGATCATCCAGTCCCACCGCCTGTCTTCATCAGCACCTTCCTTGACGCTCATTCTGCCAGGGCTTCATCTGTTGTTTATTACTGCCAGTGACCAGCAGCACCAACAGTGGAGGGAGTTTAATCAAGAAAGAGCCTAATGATACACGCAGGCCTCTGAATCATTCTCTAGTGTAGAGGTGCTAGGACTTTCTGAAGCTCTTGACCCCTGTAACCCCAGTGCAATAAAACTGCATGAGCCCTTTTTGCCCAGGATATGCAAACAGAGCTTACCTGGTACTTGATAGGTGTAGGATACGTTGTGCTCAATCACAACCTGATGGATGCTGGGATCAGGAATGAGGAAAGACTCATTATATGGGGGTTTAAACTGGTACATTTCATGACCACCATCTCCAAAATCCCACCTGAGGAGAGGAAAGCAGATCAGACATGCAGGCCATGAGCTGGTCGTTACATAGTGAAACGGAAGCTGCTTTTGGAGCATCTTAGGATCCCGCCTGGAATCCCGTAAGCACCCCCAGTGCCATTCCCAGTGTTCTGCTACAGTCACAACACTGTGGTTACCAAGGGAGCTACCGCAAAGGGTGCTGCTGAGTATCACAAGGCGAGCTGTTCTAATTCCATCGCAGTGCCTTGGTGACGGGAGTATGGTGGCAGTTAGAGAAAGGGAAGGAGTCACTTCTAAACAGCCAAATAGCAAGTGTTGCGGAAGAAAGGCATTATGGGACTGACCTCCAGAAACAGTGAGCACCTACTACCCCGGCTGAACCCAGTGGGGATGCTGGGATACTAAGCCCCTCTGAAAATCAGTCTCTGTGTAAATACCAGATTTTGTTGTTCTGGTACCACTGTGTTTAGATTTCTTTACCAAGATTACTCAGTCCTGCTCCAGTTAACCACCACTCGGCTCCTGTTCCAAAAACCTGGCATTACAAATACCAGCATGCCCTTCCCTGGTGCCAAAACATATCCCATAGGAGAGGAGAGACACTGCACAGGGAGTTCTGTGATGATTCTCTTCTGAGCAGGTGAGGAACGAAGACAGAGCCAAACAAAGGATCACCTAGCAAAGGTCTTACTCAGGGAATTCAATAGGAATTTGCCTTGAATGAGCGCTGAGGAAAGAAGAAGCCAGACCCTGCGAATTAGGCCTAATACCCATTTGAAATCAATTGGCCCTCAGGTGAGAATCAGCCACGGCAAAGCCCCTGAGCTGTGCATGGTGAGACCCTAAGTTTGGGCAACTTGCAGAGGACTCACAAGAAGGCAGCGTCCACAGCTGAGTCGATCTGTACTCTGGCGGTAAGCTCCACGGTCGTGTTCTGAGGGAGGACCAGTGGGATCTCGGACACGGTCAGGTCCTTCATCCTATGCATCTTCTCCACCGTGACGTTGTAATCAACTGTGACATTGCTGACGTGATTGGACGCGGTGAGCTGTTAGGGACGGGCAGGACAAATGGAAGAGCTCTGAGGTCACCTCACCACGCTCCCCACTCCTGGGAGTATAGCACCAAGGAGGGATCTGGGTTTCACTGTGCTAAAGGGACACTGGGATGTGGTGTCTCCCCAAACGGGCCCTGAGAGAGCTGAATTAGGCCAAGTGGGCCCAATCAGCCAATTAAGTGGCAAACAGGGGAGAGATTTAGGTGAGGAGGAGGCCACTAATTGGAAGCAAGTTCATCTGTGAGGGAACAGGCGGGGCTTACATAAAGCCAAGGGACTAGCAACAGGGGGAAGGCTTCGAGGGGAAGGGAGGTGTGGTTGGGACTATAAAGGGAAGTCTACAGTTACGTCCTGGGAGAAGGGAATTTGGGAGGGAGAACCAGAAAGGTACGAAAGACTCAGGGGAAAAGCAGCAAGGGGTGGGAGAGGCCAGACCTTGGCTGCTGAGGAGAAGGCCCCTGAGCCGGAACCCAGAGCAGAGGGCCGGTCCCCACCCCTGAGGGAGTGGCACCATGGGGCAGTGAGTGGGCAGACTGCCTGAGACAGCTCGTGTGAACAGAGACTTAGAAAGACTTTGATACCCTAGAAGGGGGAAACGCATATAGTGACCTGGTCGGAAAGCCAAGTCACGAAGAACAAGCACCCAGTCGCAGAGACTGAGCGCAGTAGGGCATGCAGCAAGCAGCAGAAGGGGACCCCGGACCTGGAAGGAGCTAATCCCCAGAGCAGCCAGGAGGAGGCGCTCCTAGTGGTGAGTGCCCCCGTGACAGGCTCCAATAAACCAGAGAGAGTCCAGAGGAAAACACTGAAAGGGACTGGGGAGAGGGAAAGGACAGGGCCAGTGCCACTCAGGGGAGAGCTGGCAAATAAGTGTGAATGAGGCAGGGAGAGTAACAAAAGGAAAGGGAGGCAGAAAGCCAGGGTAATAGGCTGTCGGAACTGGAAGGCACCATGACCCCCAAGTCACAAACCAGTGGATAATCTCCCCTGTGAAGCTGTCATGGCTTCACTCCTAGGTCTGTTCAAGGTGGAACTGGCGTCTGGAGTCAGGGAGAGGAATCTCCGCCCTGGTGCCCTGGACCTCAACAAGTGCACAAGACCCAGGAGACTCTTCCAGCCCTGAATTTACCAGTCGTTCATTCGCTGACTCTGTCTGAGCCTTGTCGCTAACAAGCTGCCTCCAGCCATCATAGCCACTGATGGAGAAGCAGCAGCTTCCTTAGGGGCAGGTGAGTAGCTCATGACAGAGGGCGCAGGACGCAATGTGAAAAGTGCGGCTTCAGCACTTCTAGTGAGACAAGGCAGGGATGGAGGAGAGCGGAGGGCCTGGGGCAAAGCTGGGTGGAGGGCTGAGAAGAAAGAGAGGAACAATCAGAAAAGGGGACCAAGATGAACTGTGAAAACTGAGAGAGAGGCGCAAAGCAACACGGGAGGAGAACGGACAGGAGGGGAGGAAGGAAATGGGCAGAGGAGAGACCTGGAGATAATCGGGACAAAGGAAGAGAAAAGGAGAAGGCGGGGAAGCAATGAGCAGAAGAGGGGGAATGAAGAATGAAGGAGAGGGGAGAGGGAGGGGGAAGAGACGAGAGAGCAGTGGAGTGGAGAACACAAGAGGAAGCTCTCACCATCTTTCTTTGCAAGAGAAGCACAGAGCAAAACTAAAGACTAAGCAGCTTTGCAAGCGCAGCGAAAACCTCTTCAGGCAGCTGCAGTGCACAGCCTGCGTTACCCACTGGCTTGCGGCTCGGGCAGGGCGTTGGCAGAAATCTCTGCCTACGTGTCAGACTGCTGCTTTTCCTTTTCAGCTGGTGGAACCCAATGGACAAGCAGACCTGAAATGGTGCCGCGGGAGAGGCCTTGGCTTACCGAGAGCTTGTACACAGCTGGGCTTTGGTAGATAACGTTGAAGACGACGTTGTAAAAAGTGAAAGATGGCTTGTCGTCTACCGTCCATCTGAAAGTCACATCTGACCCAGCCTCCATCACAGGGACATAGCTCTGAAAGGTACGAGGAAACTTTACGCTAGACCAGGGGGGTCGCAACCTTTTTCTTTCTGAGCTCCCCTCAGCATGCTCTAAAAACTCCGCGGCCGCCCTGTGCCATAGCAATTCTTTTCCTGCTTCTCCAGGAGATTAAAAGCCAGAGCTGGCGTTAGGGGGTAGCAAGCGGGGCAACTGCCCTGGGCCTCATGAAGGTAAGTTGCTCAGGCTTCAGCCCCACACTGTGGGGCTCAGGCTTGAGCTTTCTGCCCTGGGACCCAGCGCATCTAAGGCCGACCCTGTTTCCTGGGTTATTTTGAGGGACCCCCCTGAAACCTGCCATGGTCCCCCAGGGGGCTGCAGGCCCCTGGTTGAGAACCTCTGCACTAGGGCATGAGAAGCCTGCACAGCACGTCCCAGCTGAACTGGAGATGGAACAGATTCGATCTTACAGGCTAGCTCAAGATTCACTGACAGCTGCTGCTAGGACAAGAAACGGTTTCTGCATCCTTTAGACTCTGCCTTTTAGTTACTGTATTTTGGGGGATTCCGTTTTTAGTCTGAATGGAAAGTAAATAGGAGGGTTTAACTTTGAGTCCCTTTAGCTCTTTCATAGTCCAAGCTAATCTCCCCTCCTCAGGTGGTCAGATATCTTTCTCTCTCCAGCTTCTGGTCGGCACTGGGGGAGCCTGAAGTCCTGTTTATTGCCGCTAGTTCAAACAAATGTACAAGTGTCCAAATAGAGAAGTGAGAGAGAGGCGGAGAAACTCGGAGACTCTCAGCTGCGGGGATAACAACAACACTGTGACTATTGTTGGGTTTCCTTTCAAGGTAATTTCAAAGTAGCCTTTCCTAAAATTAGTTCTTATGCCTGGGACTTTCAAAGGGGTTTCAGGAGGGATGTACCCTAATCCCACTAAAAGTCAGTGGGAGTTGAGGGGCTAAATTCTGCTGAAATCCCGGCCTACAGCTTCTTAGGTAAGCATGGCTCTTACAACACATACAGTAAGCAGACCAGGGCCTTGCCCCAAAGAATTCACAGTCTAAACTATTTTGCTGTCGACTCTTCCCCTCTGCTATCATGCCTTAAAAAAGAAAAGAGTCCCACTTAATGGGATGTTCTAGAAAACCTGGTTTTCCAGATAATAGTAATGAGCACTTTTCAAACAATAGACTGCAGCGCAATTTGCAGAGGTGGGTGAGCATCTTTAGCCTCCTTGTACAGATGGGGAAATTCAGGCAGTGAGAGACTGATGCTTCACTGAGCTAGTCAATGGCACAGCTGGGACCAGAACCCTGGTCTCCTGACCAGCCCTCTTCCCTGGAGATCTGTTCACAAGACCATGCTTCCTTCCCGCTACCCTTTGGCTGCTTCGCTGCACTGAACCTCTGACCCTTTTCACTAGGAAATACCTGACCCAAAGCCTAAACAGATCCAGTTGCACTTGGCAGGCCGGGGTTGGATTCCTGCTCCTCTATATCATGTCTCATTAGCACAATCAGACTTCTTAACCCAACAGCTGCAGAGACCAGCTGGTGAAGGTGAGACTGAAAGGCACTGCAGGCACAGGCGTGCATATTTTCTGCCATTACGCAGCCAAAGATTAAAACAGAGCATTGGACAGATCCAATGGGTAGTTACCAAACAGCCTCTGAGCGGGGTTTAACTTTGCAGTGGGGAAAGAGAAGTGGAGCAAAGGACTGAAGACACCAGGATAATTACAAGACTTTGGTGGACAAAGAAAGTATGTAGAGCTCCAGCTGGCAGGTGGACAGTATTTGTGATAGCAAATCAGAACTTCAAAAGAAAGTCAAAGGAACATGAACCCTGACCTTCCACTATGCACCTGGTCATTTGGGCAATTTATGGGAGCAAGGAAAGAAACGCGGAGCTAACATTCTCCTATCACGGTAACATTCTCCTACCCTAATGCTGGGGTATTTAAGGTCGACATCAGGATGTGTACTGCTAAGTTATACACCCAATTCAGGGGCATCTGCATCTTCCCCAGTGAGGAGTGGGGTTGGCAGTTTGCCAGGGGATCAAAGGCCCTACCTGACATGCATAAAATGGGGCAGATCGCATGGAGGTGTAGCTGTGATTCACCTTGTTTACATCTGGGCTGTTTCCCAAACCCAAAGCATTCACATTAAAGGCTGCAATGAAAACATTATTAATACTTTAACAATAGTGCAATGACTCACCACCCGGGTGTTTAGCAAGACTCTGGTTTCTGGGTCAGGGGTCGCTCTGAGTCCTCTAATGGGCTCCTCCACCTTCACCTTGACAGTGATGTTCTGGGAGCTCACCGAGTTTTCCACCATGAGCAGCATGGTGCCCACGCTTTCCCCACCGCCACTCAGCTTGACCACTGAGAACCAGGTGTCGTTGGTGTCCCTGGTGCAGTCTGCTGTCAGGGGAACAATGGCTGGCGGGCATGCCCCTTCGAAGGGGAAGGTCCTGTTCTCGCCAAGCCAGCTTGCTGTCGCATTCACCCCTGAGGATATCTTCACCACCAGCGAAGAGTGGTTAGTTGGCACATAGACTTTGCCACTGTGAGGAGGTGGGTAAATGACACGGAGACCTGACACCGGAGAAGTGACCCAGAAACTGCAAGACAAGTTGGCACTGAAGACTCCATTGTCTACCGTGGCTTTAACGGTGTAGAGGCCGTGACGCTCCAGCCCGGGATTGTGTTGACTGATAAGTGGCGTTACCTGTTCTGTGGCATAGAGAACCCTGAGAGAGCACACGGTGTCATTCTTCCAGATTGCACCGGTGAGGTTGGCAGACAGGCTGGGCACCCAGTCAGAAGAATTTGTGCTTAAGTAGTTTATTCTGTAAGGTGATATTATACTTGGCCGGCACTGGAGGAACAAGCCTGGCGCTGCATCATGCTGGATGCTGAAGACATCCTTAGGCCTGACAAAGGTGTCTTCACCTTTAAACATCACCTGTGAAGGGGTAGAGATTATTTAGATTCCATGGCTTAAATTCTCAGCAGGCATCACCATCCCCATTACCAGTCCCGAATTTGGGCGGGTGAGAAAGTTTACCATTGGATTTACAGCCAGGATAAAGACCACAGCAAATCCAATAGCTCAGGGAGCTTTCTTAAAATGCTATCCTCTTTGCTGATATGAATTGGATGTGCTGTAAACTGAGATAAACAGCAGTTTTAGTCTACAGTTCACCCTTCTTTTTAAATGCAATGAGCCTGGTCCTGTTAAAATCTTGCTCAAAACTTTGAAAACTGACCCTTCCATCCACTTTATTGTTGCAACAAATTACTGGGGGAGTGGTTAGAGGAAGGAAGTGGGAGTCACAGCTCCTGGGTTCTATTCCAGATTCTGCCACTTACCTGTTGTGTGATCATGAATAAATCACTTCACGTCTCTGTGCCTCAGTTTCCCCATCTGTAAAATGGGGATAGCACCTGCCACACAGGTTGGACCCAGAGTTCAGTACCCAAGGAAAAGAGCCCTGTCCACACATTGGTTATACCAGTTAATTTGCACTTACCAGATACTGAGCAGAGGTGTTAGCTGGTATAGTGAAGAGAAACTCTTTGAGAAGTTCATAGCTGAGCTGGCTTTCATTGTGCCAAGAAAGGGAGTTGGTACTATTGGTGATGGAATCATTGGCACATTCCACTGGGCTGCAGCAACTGCTTAGCGACAAACATGTGTTAGTCAAGTGACACCACTGGAAACCAGCAGGGCATTCAAGTAGTGTCCAGTTCCCAATATCCTGAGAAGTGCGTAATGGATATGTAGCGTTTTTTTCCTCCTTGTAACCTGGAAGGTGGGAGGAAAGAACAAATCTGATAGCTCAGGCACATACTTGTGTAGAATTAAATTAAGAATAAAATCCCCAAACACTCCAAATTCAAGGCTTTCTCACATTTTTCCATGAATTTGAAAAGTGAAAAATCTCAGTCAACTGCATGTGCTCTTTGGGCCAAAAATTGACCATGTTAGTGGAAAATTTCATTAAGATTGCACAGTTCAGAGGGAAATAATGGTCCCTTTTCCAATTTTAGAACTATTTCCAAGCAAAAGCAGACCCATTCTTTTAAGCAGAGCTGGCTTTGACGTTGAAAATGCATTGTTAGTTTTCACAAGTTAGCACTTAGACGTCAGAATATCAATTTTCCAATGTCAAAATATTTTTTTTCACAACTGTGGACTCTGTGACTGCGTCAAACCCTCTTGTGGGAAAATTCATTCCCACAAAAATTGTGACTTTGGCACAGTTGCACTGAGACTCAAAATTATGAGTGTGCCCCATTGTCGTGTTTCACAGTCAGGAAGAAATTTTCTCCCGTTAACTTTTGGGACTAGATGGAGCACAGTCCATCACGGTGTGACATTTTCTGCGTTCTCAAGTAGAAAGAAATAATGCAGACAGAAGGTGAATTCATTTCCATCCAAGATCTGCTTAGTCTTCATACTTCATGACATGCGACAATTCCTTAAGGAAGCCTTTGGAATCTATTATAAGAAATATCATCCTACAGCTTCAGCCTTGGACCAGATGCAGACCTGGCGAAAGTCAGGGCAACTTCGGTGCAGTTTCCATAGTTACTGTATGAACTGGCTCTGCGGAATTCGCAGCATCTCTTTTCATGCCAGCAGCCACAGAGTAATTCCCCTACAAACTGCCCCAGCATTAAAGCACCTGGGCGCTACAGAAGAGTCTTGTCCAAAGAGTGCTGGCCATTTGTGAGGCAGACACAAGGAGAATGCGCAGAAAGGGGATTTGCGCAGCACTCTAGGCCTTTCCCAATGCTGTTGTGTGTTTTGGTCTGGGAATCAGCTTTGTTTCCCTCTGGAGCTTACAAGAAGTGGTGCATTCTGAATAATCCAGTGAGCCACCTGGATATTAAAGAGGAAAACAAATGGGCTTGTGCCACACCTGTTCCGGGGGTAGGTCCCGAAAGCTGCAGACTGTATGCTAATGATGTAATGCCCTGACTTATATAGTTGATGAATAGCCATTATCTCTTTTGCATAAATCCCCTTTTCTGTTCACCATCCAAAGATACTTCCTCTGTGACTCCTTCTCCACCACAAATCCTTCCTTGTTTTTCCCCACCTATCCCCTTCCTCTGACTGGTTCCATCTTCCCCATCGCTGTCCTGGTTCCACTCCCCCCTTGACTCCCCAGCTTCTCCTCACCTCACCTCAAGTTTCCCCCTGCCCCTCCCAACATACACACTAACCCTAGACTCTCGGAGAAGAATATTCCCCACACAACCAGCCCATAGCCATAGAGTGTGTCTGTCTCTCCCTCACATTGCCCACTGCTCTATCCCTAGCTCTGTGTCATGTGGGTTGGGGGCTATCCTGGAGGCAGGATCTCTATGGTTAGAGTCCTGGAGGACTCCTGGGGGGTCTCCATAATTGAGAGCTTCAGTCCTCCAGGGATCTAACCATTGAGGCATGGTCTAGAGTGCCTCCTCTCATTCAATAGCGGGAGCCTCCCTTCCAGGACAGGAGGCTTGAGAGCTCTGGGGGCTTGGCCCATTTTTTGCTGCTCTGTGGTTTGGAGAGAAGGCCGGAGTGGCTCCATTGGTTGTTGAGTGAGGAGTGGGGAGGTTTCTCACTTAATGTCTACTTCAGAAACTCAGGTCCTAACCACCATGGGACCAGAGAGCGAGTGATGCCACCGGCATCCCAAAAGCAAAGAGGTGGGAAGTTGTAGCCATGGTGAGGGGAAGGGTCTTTGTTCTGTCAGTTTAATGCCAATGTCCAACACAGATTTTGCGGAACAGGCAACTGTGTTAAAGATTTAACCCTCCAATTGAAGGGCGAGAGCTCACAATACACATGCACTGAGATGCCCCCAGGACATCCCCCAGCAAAACCAGGGAAAATGAGACCTCACCTGAGACTTCTCAAGATTAAAAAAAATAACAATAAAGCCTCTCTCAGGCCTCCTTTCAAAAGAAGAGGAAAGGCCACAAACCCAGTGTGGGTCACCTTTAAAAGAACTTGGAGTCAGGGAAAGAGAGGAGATGTTGTACCTTCTCTGTGTGCTGGTCTGTGCACCTGAAACCTCACATGAATAGACCGCTGCAGTTCTTGAGTCACAAACTCAAGGGCCGTTAAAAATGCTTCCTGCTGAAACTCCAAACTGGGGAACACCATCATCTGGAAAACAAAACCCAAGGCCTTCACCTTGCTGCACTGCTCACGGAGCTCCCTCCATGGGGCTAGGATGTGAGCCCTTCTTACCTCCACAGTGTCCAATGGAGCCGGCAGCAATGCTTCTCTTGTCACGTATCTCACAGACCCGGGGGTGTCAAACGCAGGGTCACCCACGTAAAAGTTTTCGGCGTTCAAGAGAATTCCTGTTTTCAAGGGAAGCATTAGGCAAAGCCAGTGAGAGCCAGCAAGGCCTGTGTTTGTGCCTCGGCCCTGCTCGCACTAGATCACATCACGGATCGGAACGGTAACACCCATCACAGGGGGAATTACAAAATGGGTTTTGGACCAGTTCAAATCACATGATTCTCAGTTCTGGGGGAGAAGCAGCTGCGATTATGATTCAGTTACCTTTCTTTCCACGCTGTGGTTTTGATTCCCTTCCCAGCCTGTGTAATTAATGTTTGCACCGTTCCCAGCGCGATGACAGAGCCGCGCAACAATCAGCAGCTTCGGCTTCTGGGAATCCTGCAAACTCTGTCCATCTTCCTTCACACAGGATTCACGCCCCGAGGTTTGCGTTGAATTATTGGATATAAATACTGCCCCCAAAACGCCATGTAAAACTCAACCAAAGCCACCTGGTTTCCATCAAAATAACCTCACCTAGCTCAGGCTTGCTCATAACCAGGGCAGGCATTGAGGTACTGTATCAGTGAGCAGTTATTGGGACCTCTCTTCACTGTCAGGGTGGGTCCCCCCATCTCTTTACTTTACACTTTATCTGAGTCCCCTCCCATCTTTATTCTCTTTCTTATTCCCAACATCCCCCTCTGTCTTCCACTCCCTCTCCCTGGGGTGAGGAATTTGTCTTCCAGCCAGTCTGCTTCTTACACCACCACCCCCATCGCACAGGCAGGAGGATGTCCTATGCTGCAGGAGGGTGGGGTCTTCTGCTAAGATGTCTTCTTCCCGCAGTGGACTCTCCGCTCAGAGTCACCCTGAAAGGTGGCACCTTAGGCGGCCAGGTACCCAGCCTATGCCTGCAGCCAATGCACATTCCAGCTTTGGCATGGGGGGCACACCCAAAGCTTGTCCCTCACTCCCCAACATGTTCACGAACTTCAGGGAACCTGACCGTGGCTCTCCAAATGGAGGAACCATTTGCAGCTCTAGCAGACGGGTTGTACGGCGGGTGCAGGAAAGGAAGGCAGCCTCACTGCAGTGCCCACAAAGCTGGAGGCTCCAGGCGAGACAGGAGCTGAACCAGCCCTGGAGGCCCTGTGAGCTCAGAGAAGGTAACCCTGCGCACCCCGGCATTACTTTCCATCCCAGGCTGGGGTACAGATATACCACTGTCAGGGATGGGGCAGAGGGTCCTCTGTGCTAACAGATTTTTGGGATATTTCTAGATTAGGAAAGGAGGTTGAGGTTAGCTAACTCTGACTTTTTCCTAGTGTAGATGCAGCTTACCACCTTTTTAACTTCAATTTAGCTGGTCAAAGCTGACCCAGAAGAGTAGCTAATCCTCACTTAATCTCCACCTCTTTTCCTTATTCAGCTAACCCCTTAGGGTACGTCTACACTGCACAAAAAGCCTGCAGCAGCAAGTCTCAGAGTCAACTGACTCGGGCTGGGGCTGCGGGGTTCAAAATAGCAGTATAGACATACGGGTTTGGGCTGGAGCCTGGGCTCTGAGGCCCTGCGAGCAGGGAGGGTCTCAAAGCCCGGGCTGCAGCTTGAGCCCAATTGTCTACACTGCTATTTTTAGCCCCGCAGCCTGAGTCCCGTGAGCCCGAGTCAGTTGACCCTGGCTCTGAGACGTGCTGCCGTGGTTCTTTTATTGCCATTTATGTGCAAACTGAAAGAAATATCCAATAAAATCATAGGAAATGCCTGTGTAAAATGCCCCCCCCTTGCCAGGCTGAGTCAGTTGGGGTGCTGCACAAGCAGTTAACATAGAAAAAGAACAAAGAATGAAAAAGACCATGGTACAACCATGTTTTGTTCTGTCTTTCTCCCTAACTTCCCAGCAGTGAGAGGGAGTTTGTTGTGACATATGGGGACTAAACACTTCAAGAACCACTGCCTGAGAGCATGTTTCTCCAAGATATATTTTGTGTGTTTTATTAAGAATATGAGGCCATGTCTTTGGGCGATAACTTAGTATGTGCGTATTTTTAGAGAACATTTTAGACATTTGGGAAGGGTTAGCGGGCTGGGCTGCAGCTCCATCAACGTGCAAGTTTCCTGCTTCAAAACCCACAACAGAAACACCAATTTATGGCAAGTCAGTTGGCTATTCTCCTAGGGCTGCTAGTCGTGTCTGAATTACAAATTAATGAGTTGTCCTACTTACTAGGTCAGACTTGAAGTGAGCAATGACCTATTCTATGCACTCAGGCCTGGTATCTGTGCTTCCAAACTAGTGCACACTCAAATATTGTAGGTGGCAATAAAATAGGGCATTTGGTCCATTCTGCCCTCCTTCTGGGGACTCTACAGAACATGCTTTTATTTCCAGAGCATTTGTCAGAGGCTTGGAAATTCCCAACTTCCATCTAACAAAGATGACGATTAACCAGAAAAACAATGAGGCCCTTCCCTTTGGACTGACCGATGCCAGTAGTTGATGATAAATACATCCACCTCCAACCAGGACCCAGGTGTGGAAGGCCTGCTGAGAGCAGGGCAGCGGGAGAGCCCACCTTTTGGCTTGTACTCGCACACGTAGCTGTGCTTGGCCATGCACAGGTCGGTGTTACACTGGCCCGTCGGGCCCATCCGGACACAGTGGTCAGCGTTTGATGGATGGGGCTCTCCTGGCAGCCAGTTCTGACAGCTCTCCAGATTAAATCCTTCACCCCTCTGCTGAGCTCCAGCACTTGCAAAATCATTGAATCCAATCCAGACGTCAAGGCCCCTTCAAAACAATGCAAAAGAATGCCAGATTTTTCAGGAAATCACAAGTATTGAAAGGATTTGGGACAGACTTCATCCAGGGTTCTCAATGAAAATAATCATAACAACAACAGCTTCCATCCATGTGTCAGTCAATATTCAAAGAGCCCTTTAAATTACTAAATTATTGCGATACTCATTCTACTTCAAGGACCTGATCCTTGAAAGACAGTCTCCTAAGTATCAAACCATATTGTGACCTGCTAATGAGTTAAAGCCATAGTCATAACTGCATTTAATTCATAAGGCAAGCTGCCGCATAAGGAGCTCAGATGCCATGGTGATGGGTGTGCTACCAGAATCTGCCATATAATAATATAACAAAGCTGGGACCATGTAGAAACTTCACATGTGTCATTGAGCTGCACTAGGAACCTCCTGATGATGTCTAGAATAGAACGTGGGTTCTGTAGATAAAGGAGAATTTCCATTATCTGTCAGCATCTTTTATAAACCTCGTGTTTCACCTATAGGAACTTCTCATTAAGAAAAGCTACTCCAGTATTCTCCAGTAACACTAGAGTTGAGAATAGCATTGGTGCAGAGTTTAACACCATACTATGATAAATCCTGGCCCACGACTGGGGTTCCTCCGCACTACCAAAATATGTAATGATATATAGATCATGCATCATTGACGACTGAAACATAGCAACGTCTGGGATAGAATACAAGAGCAGAGCAAAGCAATTTAGGATATGGAAGTGAAGAAGAATGTCCCATACAATGAAAACTGCCAGGATAATTTTAGGTCAATGGAATATAACTGCCCAATTTGGAATTTTGGCTGACTACCAGAGTTGGCTCTTGTGGAAAATCCTGTAGGATCTCCAGTGGTCGAAGGCACCCAGGAACTTCCGCTTTACATCTCACCCAAAAGATAGTGCTCGTATGCTAAGGCATTTGTTCCATACTAACTCACAACAGAAAGCATCGCTCGTCACCCCTTCCCTGCACCACCGTACCATCACCTCGAAGGTAGCCCCTCCAAATTGCATCCCTCACGGCTTCACTTTTGAAATCTGAGATGCTCACAAGGAAGTGCTTTGCAAAGAGCAGCCTAAGCAGATAATTGGTGTCTCTCCACCGCCAAGTCTGCCCCAGATGCCATGATTAAGGCTCCGTGTTTGTCACGGAGGTCGCGGTCGAGTAGCGGCCCTGGGGACAGCCACACTGGCCACTGCTGGAGCGGCTCTGCAGCAGTCCCGGGGGCGGTGGGAGCAGCCACAGCTCAGTGGCTGGCCCCAGAGCTTCCCCTCATGGTGGCCAGAAGAGCCGCTGGCCCCCTGGGACTTCCCTCCCCCTCCCAAGCTGTGGCTGGATCGGCAGCAGGCCTCCGGGACTCCCCCTGCAGGGGGTGCTGTGGACTTGCCCCCCACAGTGTCCCGCTCACAGCGCCCCTCCCCCCGTAAGATTCAATCAAGGGTCATTATGGTCTAAGTCATGGACAGGTCATGGGCTGTGATTTTTTGTTTCTTGCCTGTGACCTGTCCATGACTTTTTCTAAAAATACCCATGATTAAATCATAGCCTTAGACATGATTAATGAGGTCATACTGAAAAACGACGATGAACATAATTGTTCTGTGAATCAGTAATTTTTATCACGAATCAGATTAAAAAACAAAGAATTGCTGTGCTTTGTTCCTGAAACACTGGAAGGGATTAAGGAGAGCGGGATGGGAAACAGCCTATTTGCTGTCATCAGTAAAATCCAATAGTTTTTTTCCTTTTCTAATTCCAGCTATGATCTAACTGCAGGTCATCAAAAAAAAAAAAAAAAAAGAATGAAACAAACCAAGATTGGCTGGATTGTTCCCTTGCACCCTCCCTGGCTGGTAGGTCCAGTATCTCTAAATGAGGGTAAATTTTCTCATTTGAAGTAGGAGCTGGATTGCACTTTCCTTATTACAGCAGTAGCATTTCTTGAGAACTAATGACCTGTCTTGGGTCACCGGAGGGAGAGGAAAAGTTCCAGCATTTTGGAAGGGGAGAGTGCTTCATCCCGCACTGGTTGTAGGTGTTGGGGTAAACTGGTTCACAGGGCCCTGGTTCTTGGTGGGGAGAACTGGTTCAGAGTGCACAGGCTCTGGGAAAGATCATCAAATGATGGTAGAGAGGAAGAGAAGAGAGTGACCGTAACTGCCATGCGGGCTAATGGGAAACAGATTTTTGCTTCTGTCATTTTCCCACAAGAAACCCTGGAAGTCACGCGTTCCAAAAAAACATAGCTTATACTTCATTTCTCTTTTATCGCCAGGGAAATCACATCCTGGAACTGGCTCATTCATGTTTATCTGAACAGATTAATAAATAAATAAATAAAATAAAGAGAATAAGGGAGCCGGAGTGGAGAACAATGAGCTGCGGCAGCTGGGAAACAGCTTGGTCGGCTTGCTCCTTTCTAGATCCCATGATTTCATCGCCACTGCAGTCCATCAAAAGCCCTGCACGCAATGCGAAATAAATCAGTGCTCTGAGTGACCAGCTCCTAACCCTTCGGAAAGGATGGGCTCCTCTGACTTGGCCTTGCCGGGCGCACATGTTTGTAATCTCGGGATCAATCCCAGTGTGAAGGGAGCGAGACAAGAAAACAAGTTCAAGAGAAAGGCCGTTGGGCCCAGGACAGGCCTGTTCAAAGACTACATCACATGCAGCTGCTCCAATCTCGTGTGCTTTCTGGGACGTGTTTATTAAGAAGCCCCTGCCAACATCTGCATCTGCATGGAGCTGTCAGGCCCCTGGGAAGGTCTGAGCGCTTCCCCTTTAAGATGGCTGGTTGCAGAAAGGGCATTTGTGGGGTGGATTTCGTCAAAGGCTGACACGTTCCACGCTGCCTGTTTAGAAACCGCTGGCTGTGAGGTGGAACAGATGCTTTCAGAGCCCAGCACTTGGGGAAGTGGGCTGCTCTGTCTCAAAAGGGATAAGGGTCTCCGGCTGAGGCTGACACCAAGTGACTGGGCATGAGACTCAGCTGAGAGAGGCCAGGCTTACAGCACCACCTTTTCCTTTCTGTAGCGCTTAGCTCCTGTCACCAGGACTCCTGACGCAGCTTGCCAAACTGGACATGCAGAGCCCTGCTGCCGTGCCTGGGGTGGAGGGCAGTGCCAAAGGTAGGGGAGCTGGGAAATTTTAGCTAGAAACATAGTGCAAGCTTGGATCCTCACTAAAAGGACCCGAGTTCTCAAATGCCCATGGAATGCAGACAGGGTCTGGGGGTTCCAAGGTCTCTTTCAAACAATTCATGTGCAATAAACCGGAATAAAATGCTTCTCTAGCGGGATTTAATTCCTGACAAACTCAGTCGTCATTCCAGGGTCACAGCCAGGGATGCTGCGGTACAGCTGTGCTCATTCCACTACCTTCCTTCTATTCAGTCAGTGACTCCCTTCCACCTTCACCCAGACATACATGTCCAGGGACCTCGGCATTCTCCTCATTGGATGCAGTAACCCTGATGCAGCTATATTCTGCCATCCCCAGACACCAAGCATACATGACCTGGGAGGCTGGGTTTCTGATGAATGGTTGCAGTAACCCTGACATATTGCACTGCTTCTCCCATCTTTAGATACTGCCCATCTTAAAAAAGGGAAGAAGGAGAATCTGGGGAACTACAGACCGGTTAGCTTCACCTCAGTCCCTGGAAAAATCATGGAGCAGGTCCTCAAGGAATCCATTTTGAAGCACTTGGAGGAGAGGAAGGTGATCAGGAACAGTCAACATGGATTCACCAAGGCAAGTCATGCCTGACCAACCTGATTGCCTTCTATGATGCGATAACTGGCTCTGTGGATATGTGGAAAGTGGTGGATGTGATATATCTTGACTTTAGCAAAGCTTTTGATACGGTCTCCCACAGTATTCTTGCCAGCAAGTTAAAAAAGTATGGATTGGATGAATGGACTATAAGATGGATAGAAAGCTGGCTAGATCGTCAGACTCAACGGGTAGTGATCAATGGCTTGATGTCTAGTTGGCAGCCGGTATCAAGCGGAGTGCCCCAGGGGTCGGTCCTGGGGCCGGTTTTATTCAACATCTTCATTAATGATCCAGAGGATGGCGTGGATTGCACCCTCAGCAAGTTCACAGATGACACTAAGCTGGGGGAAGAGGTAGATAAGCGGGAGGATAGGGATAGGGTCCATAGTGACCTAGACAAATTGGAGGATTGGGCCAAAAGAAATCTGATGAGGTTCAACAAGGACAAGTGCAGAGTCCTGCACTTAGGACGGAAGAATCCCATGCACCGCTACAGACTGGGGACTGACTGGCTAAGCGGCCATTCTGCAGAAAAGGACCTGGGGATTACAGTGGACGAGAAGCTGGATATGAGTCAGCAGTGTGCCCTCGTTGCCAAGAAGGCCAATGGCATATTGGGCTGTATTAGTTGGAGCTTTGCCAGCAGATGGAGGGAAGTGATTATTCCCCTCTATTCGGCACTGGTGAGGCCACACCTGGAGTGTTGTGTCCAATTTTGGTCCCCCCACTACAGAAGAGATGTGGACAAATTGGAGAGAGTCCAGTGGAGGGGAAAGAAAATGATTAGGGGGTGGGGCATGTGACTTACGAGGAGAGGCTGAGGGAACTGGGGTTATTTAGTCTGCAGAATAGAAGAGTGAGGGGGGATTTGATAGCAGCCTTCGACTACCTGAAGGGGGGATTCAAAGAGGATGGAGCTCGGCTGTTCTCAGTGGTGGCAGATGACAGAACAAGGAGCAATGGTCTCAAGTTGCAGTGGGGAAGGTCTAGGTTGGCTATTAGGAAACACTATTTCACTAGGAGGGTGATGAAGCACTGGAATGGGTTACCTAGGGAGGTGGTGGAATTTCCGTCCTTAGATGTTTTTAAGGTCAGGCTTGACAAAGCCCTGGCTGGGATGATTTAGTTGGGGTTGGTCCTGCTTTGAGCAGGGGGTTGGACTAGATGACCTCCTGAGGTCCCTTCCAACCCTGATCTTCTATGATTCCCGGATCTTCTCTTACTCCAGGGAGTAAGGATGGGGAGCTAATCAGCAGAGCCAGATATGCCCAGCCAACAGGTAAATTCACATTGGGGTCATAACACCCCTTTCTTTGTCTGCTGCCGATCCCTGCAGAGCACAGTTGCCCCTTGGACTGTGGGGTGCCATGAAAATGGCGTGAAGATGCACCAGGCGCCGACCCTGCCCATAGCAAATCCCAGCCGTTACTGCACTCACTAACCTGGTGACATGAGAGACCAAGAAACTCTTAATTTCAGGACTGCTCACAAAAGCCAGCTCTCCATCACCATGGACCTGGCAGTGCTGTTGGGCCTCCAGCCACTGGGCCTTCTCTACCACCAGTTGGTAGCAGTGATTGTTGCCAGGGAAGACCAGGCCATCTGACGGGCACATTGGGTGAATCACTGCATGAAAAAAAAGAAAAAGCCCCTGAGGTGGACACATGTTGGAAGGTGGATGCCCGACCCACCAGCGAGACCCCACAATGCAAGTGTGAGATATCAGCTTAGCACGTGTGACCATGTTCCCCTCTAGTGGCTGGCCTACATAGAGGATAAGGAACCTGCTAGAAGTACCAGCCCTTTGTCTTACTCCCTTAGCTCCAGCAGCAGGGGCTTGTGCATTTGGTGCTGAGAGATGTGGGTTCTTACCCCATGGGTGGGCCGTAGTGGGTGGAGGTTGTTACATAATCTGGGGCATGTGAAAACATGGCTAAGGCAGGAGGAATTTAGAGACAAGTGAATAAAGAGGAGGTAGGGAAGGATATGAGAAATGACGAAAAGAAGCTTGAGGTGCTCAGATACTATAGTGTAGGTGGGCATGTCTGCACAAGGGTTCTCCAAGGCACACCTAGTGAGATTGACCAGATGACTAAAAAGGTGCTGGGGGAGTGGAAGAAACCCTGGGTACTGAGAATGCCCGCTCTATTTGGACAGAGTGGGCCTGGTTCTCCAGTGCCCTGTGTCTTGTGCACTCCTTTCCACCAGTGCAACGTGGGTGCAAAATGCCGCCAGAACATCTTACTCCAATTGGCAGTGAGGTATAAGTGCAAAAGATGCAGGGCAACGGTCACAGGGGCCCTTCACTCCCGGTGCTGGCAGGGCCTTGAAAGGAAGGAATTTTTGGAGGAACCAGTTCTCAGTGTAATTCTTCCCTCCACCCAGTCCAGCCCAATCCAGCTTCAGCAGGCACCTCATCAGCCAAACTCGACTCACCTTTGCCTGGCTCTTCATTCTCTGCAGTAATACTATACACAGCTGCTAGGCCAGTGCCGCCCCTGTTCCTGATCTGTAGGTCCAGGCTTTCGTTCGTCCTGACCAGGGTAGGACACTGCAGGTCTATCAGCTCTGGGGGAGCCACCACCTCGACGTCCGTCTGCACAGAGGTGACCCTGGCGCCCACGGAGAGGGTGACGGTGACGTTGTAATGCCCGGGCAAGGCATACTGATGGAGCACTGCATTTTCGGTAGTGTTGAGAAGCCTGGATCGGTCCCCGAAGTCCCACTGTAAAGTGCTGGCAGCAACTGGAATACTGACGTTGAAGGCCACCATGTGGTGAAGGCCATGGGGGCGGCGGGGACCTGTGAAAGAGGCATGCAGCCGTGCTGGGAAGACAGAGCGGACGAGGGAAGGGCCGCTGCAGGACCACCTAGCAGAGTCCTCAGTGCAAAACGGCAAACAACCGGAGGAAGAATTTGGTTCAAGGACCTCGCCGCACAGACACTGCTCCTGGTCGCTGAAGCCGCCGTATTCCTGGGCGTCAGCATAGCAGAGGGCACTGCAGGTCTCCTCGCTGAGGTTTGCGGAAAGAACGGATGAGAAGAGGATGACTGAATCGGCTGCCCCTGTGGTGTTGTCCGTCAAGCATGCTATGTAAGGCGCTCCTAGAGGGGAAAGAACAGAGAAGCCTGTTGAAAACCAACCACGCTAGGCCATAACTCATTAGAACTCTCAGTTAGACACCACACCTCTGCAAATGGACTTCCCCCAGGCCGTGAGCTGCAGGAAGACTACACAGCAGAGGGTTTCTATTCTGAGCATTTCCTGTTGCAGTCTTGCTTGGGAACCCTTTAATCCATCCGTGGCGTTTGCTAATCCCTTTGTAGCGGTGATGACAAGAATATCCAGCCATCAGCACAGATTTATGGAGCAGCAAGGCACAGTAAATAAAGAGTACCCTAGAGAACGTTCCACTCCCACAGAGTACGAAGCTGATCTGATCCTGAGTCCCTGCTTAGGAGTGAGTGTGGCTAGCACATGGAAGGTGGGTTCTCTTCCTAGTTCTGCCACCAATTCTCTGCAGGGCCTGGTGTCATTCACTTAACTTCACTGGTATCTGAGCAATAAGCCCACACCCAAACCCAGCCAAGCAGAGGTGCGTGCACACAGGCACCCCAATGGGGTAGTATATCGGTAAAGCTTCTGATTCCCTAGCCCATGCCAGACTTGTGCTGTGGATAAGCAGAGGATATAACCCTACAGGCACATGGGTACACACACATAGTCACATGGTGCACGCACACACACCAAACACAGACACACACATCAGATCCCATTCCCAGGGCAGTAACTTATTTACTTGTGTTCCCCAACTCTTGACCTGCCCAAGTGGGGTGGGGGTTTTTCCCTGCCACAGACACACACTGATTTTGCAGCGTACATAGCCTCAGCCCAGCTGGGATTTCCTTGCCTCGCGTCCAATTCTGCCCACGCAATTGAGGCATGTTTACTGGTCTGTTTCTGACTGTTGCTACAACATAGCTCCCAAAACATCTCAACACTGCTGTCCTCGTGTCGGTTTCCCATAACGATCCCATCTGCCTGCCCTGGTCTCGCTGAAACCCCAGTACAGTCGTTGAGCCAGGCTACCTATTAAGAAATGCATGGGAAAAGACTCTTGTTATGATTATAGATGCTTGGAAAGTACCTTTTTTAAAAATACCAGCCCAATTACATCCCAGGGGCCACATGTGATCAGCAATAGCCATTAATAACTGCCAGTATTTCCCAGAGAGAGACAAGGTGACTTTATTGGCCCAAATTCTGTTGGTGAGAGAAACAAGCTTTCCAGGCACCCAGAGCTCTGCTATTACCTCACCCACCTTGTCTCTCCAATATCCTGAGACCAACACAGCTACAACTACAAGGGTATTTCCCAAACCCATTCTGTTCTATACAAGTTCTTCTTCTGCCCTCTTCACCCCCGAATCTGAGCACCTGCCAGTCCTGGCTCCTTATGGTAGGAAGTTCCACTATGCCTGAGGAGCAGAGGCGTTGGCTATAGAATCATAAGACTGGAAGGGACCTCGAGAGGTCATCTAGTCCGGTCCCTGCACTCATGGCAGGACTTCTTCTTTGGGACACCTTAGAGGACAGTTTATTGTCCAGATTAAGGCCTTAATTCAGCAGAGTGCTTACGCAGTCCATTCCTACTCAGCATGTGCTGACGTCCCATTGACTTCAAAGGGATTTCAACTCGTTAAGCACGTGCTTACTTGCTTTGATGAATTGGGGCCTAAGGAAAAAGAACACAGAGGCCACCATCTGGTAGTTGCTTTGGTGGCCTGTGGGTAATGAGTTTACTGCTCTCAGCCCTATTCTCAGTGAATGGGGACTCAGTTAATAAAGTCACCAGCATGGCAGGCACTGATCTCTGATCTGCGCAGAGAAGCGGAGATAAAAAGAAAGGTGAAATGCAGTGCATATCTAGGCAAAAAACGTCTTGTGTATACAGTGCTGGGGAAAGGCACTGGCTGCTGGGAGAATGAAGCCCTCTCTTTGTCCACACCACAGGTGTGGCATGGGCAACTGGAGCACAAGATTCCCCCTCACTGCTGCACCAATGTTCCTCTAAGGTAGCTTGGAGGAACCTCCTCTAGGGGTGAAAAGATAGCAGCTTCCTGGCCCATCCAATCCTTAGCCTCTCTGCTGAGACAGACAACAGAGGAGCTCCATTACTGATATGGATTCCAGTCTACCAGGACCTTATCTGAGGTTCACCAAGGAGCCATCAGATGAGAATGACTTGCCCCTGCTACGGAGTGGGCTAGATGAGAACCAGCTGAGATGACTCGAGGGATGGAAGAGTCCTTAGAGGAGTATCAGTCTCTTTGATCTCAATTTTTCCACTAGATTTACCTTTACCATAAATCATAGCCCATCCCCCTTCCTTACCACAAGTAACATTGGTGAATGAAACATTGAAAAGAGGAAGGTTTGCCACTTCCGGAGGCTGGGCGCATTTAGTATCCAACAGCCGACTAACGTTAACTTTTCTTTCTTCCACCCAGCGGGGGAGCCAGGAAAGTTTGCAGTCACAAAGAAATGGATTCAGACTTAAGTTTCTGGAACAGACAGAGTAGAGAAAGATTATGCATTAACTTGACAATGGGAACCACCCGATAAGTGTTAATTACACCATCATAAAAATCCCTCTGTTCCCATCTGCACCACTCCAAGGAAACGTCTCATAAGACTCGCTAGGGGAGTTAATGAATAGAGAATCAAGCAATAATTAACATGATTTTTCTAAAGGCTAGAATTAGGCAAGTACTGCAAGCACTTTCTTCTCACAATACAAATAATTGTTGCAATTAGAAGTAAATTACAGCCATAATCCTATATTCAAAATAGTCTGCCATCTAACATCAGTTGGTTGCAGCACCAACCTCTGTAGCTAAGGGAGATTTTTTACAGTGTCATTAAAAAACATCTACGAGAATCAAATTGATCTATCAAAAAAGAAATGCAAACCCAGTGGCAGTTTTGTCACGTGGCGGTTTAATGAAAAGATGGAATCATTAACTGCAGGTGTGTTTGGCCGGAATTACAGCCCTTGGCAGTCAGCGGCAAAAAGGGCAGAGGTGGGACAATGTTTGCACAACCAACGGTAGTCATGCTGCCCGCAGCGTTTGAACCCAGTTCTCCTGCATTGAAAGCACAAGCCTCTATTGCTTGAGCTAAAGAATTAAATCCCCTGGCTGGTACCTGTAGCAAATGTACTGATCTCTCAACCTGCGGCATGGCCACTGGAAGAAGACAAAGACCCACATGCTCCTAGTGAGGGTTTTATGTATGTAAAAGCTAGCTAGTCGTGCCGCTGTTCTTTAATCTCGCTCCAGCTATTACGGCAGCAGGTCTTGCGGGCCCCAGTCCCACTGCAGGACTCTTCTAGACAGCATTACTATTACTGTCAACAATGGTCCTAATGCTCTGTAGGAGGGAAGCTGCAGAACTGGAAGTGATTCTTGCTCATTTGCACGTTCCTCTTGAAGAGTACACTGGGAAAAGGTGCATGGGAGTTCTACTCTTCTTGTCTGTTTCAATTCTTTCAAGTGAGGGAGGCTGTAACTGTGTCAGTTTCACCTTTGGAGTTTATTCCTTTCAGGTAAACATTTTCGAAAGCATTTTCAAAAGGTGCCTAAACGGCAGTTCCCTGAGTCCCAGGTCAGTGCCCCTGCCCCATAGTAGGAAGTCAAGCAGAGATTTAGCCTTGCCACTCCCGGAGTCATGCGCTTTGAAAATGCTAAAGTGAGTAAAACACTTGTGCTCTTGCAAACTCCCTGAGGGCTCGTCTACCCTGCCCCCGGGGAGAGCGGGTGAGAACAGCGCTGCCCACCAAAGTGCTGCCATGTAACTTCCCCACGTGGATGCTGCAGGTGCAAACGAAAAGGTTCCTAGTTGGTGTTAACATCGTCCTCTTGAAACACAACCACATTCACATGAACTAGGAACCTTTTCGTTAGCGCCCCAGCATCCGCACGGGGGGAGTTACGGTGCAGCGCTTCAGTGCACACAGCTGTTCACAACTTCCCAGACCGAACTGCGGGGCAGTGTAGACGTAGCCTCAGGGTACGTCTACACCGCAACTGTGGCGGTCAGTCTGACGGACATACCGAGCTAGCTTTGAACTAGCTACCTTGAATAATGAGAGCAGTGAAGCCATAACGGTATGGGGTGTAGGACCCTGGGTATGTGTTCAAGCAGCTAACTCATGCTGCTGTCGCTTCACTGCTATTCATCCTGGAGCTAGGTAAATCAAAGCTCCCTCGAGTACGTCTACACGCAGACACACCTCTGATTGCAGCGTAGACAGACCCTAAGTGAGCTGAGACTCAGCAGGAGCCGGGGAAGGGAATTCTGAAAACAAGAGCCATATTCAGAGCGCTGAAGATTAAGGAACAAGAACTTACATGTAACTTAAATTAAATAAATTATCAAATATTCCATCTTCTAACGTAGAAATCATGTTGTGGCTTATATCTCTGTAACACAGGGAAAATGGGAAAGAAAAGTTTAATAAGCATTCATAATTATAAAAATAATTTTCTGCCATTCTTACAGGGTGAAAATCCAACCCTGAGCTTCGGATAGCTGGGGCCCCGGCTCTAGGACTTTTCATTTCAAAGGGCACGCTACATACAAAGGTACAGTCATTAATGGCCAAGTACTAAGTCCTCCCTTCAACCCACCTTCTCTTTCTGGTTCTAGGAGCCAACAGAGCCTCAGGAGTGAAGAAGTCAGTCAACCAGATGTTAAAAGGTGTTGGCCCTTATGGGCCCTAGGCAGCACATCTGTTAAGGGGACGTGGCCTCTTTAAGGCTGAGTTTTTGGGAGAGGCAGTCTATAGCTGGAGCACAGGTCTCAGTCAGGTCATGTGACTTCAGCAGGGGAACCAGACCTGCTATAAAAGAGGCAACCAGCTGCCAGTAGGAGAGAGCTCGGAGTTGGGGTATGGTTGTTGGAGGCAGGGGCGGGGGAGGCTCTGCTTCCCGTGTACGGTAGCTGTGCAAGGGGCTTTGGAGGGAGTGCGGGGAGAGGCCTGAGGCAGGGCTGCCCACACAGGCTCTGAAGCAGCCCACAGGAAATAGGGATGCAGATGGGTGAAATTGGAAGCAATGCACTAGTGAGAACCTTGGGGCTGGAGCCTGAGGGAAAGGGAGTGACAAGGGCCCCCTCCCCTCCCAACACACACACACTCCCACACCCTTTGCTGGTCCTGAGACAAGGGTGCAGGGCTGCCAGCCGCAGTTCCTAAGAGGAGAGCTGTGTGAGCCTTGCACCAAGGGCTGAAGGACTCGCTGAGCCTGTGATGGGGCTAAAGTGCTACTGAGTCCAGAGGGGGCTGTGAGCCAGGGCTTGTTTTGGCTCTTTCTGTTGGACTTTTATTTATCCCAGGAAGGGGGAGGCCTTTAGCTTTTCAGTGGAGCACTAGGAGGGCCTGTGGAGGATCCCTGGGCAAGAGGGGAAACCGAGGCACAGAGCATCAGTTGATGGGACAAGGCAAGCTGACCATCTTGTCCTAGGCCTTTCTTTGGTCCAATGAGACCTCTCTGTTTCCTTATCGTGGGTCTATTTCTTGTTATTTTTCTATGCGGACTTTGTGCAGCTGAAAGGAGCTGGCTTGGCATCCTAGAGACTGAAGCCTGTCTTCACCCAAAGACCAGGTTCGGCACAGGCCTCACCAGCTCATCTCAGCTATGCTCTGGGAGGAACTCCACTTCTAGGAGCAAAAGGGGAGCTCCTATTCCATGGGCTGCTCCACCCTGGTCTTTCTCCTGGGGCTGCCAAATTGGCTTTTTTGGACCTACCTCCTAGCAGGGACTGGACTGAGAGACACCAGCGCTTTCTCTTTTGCCAGTGAAAAGCCACCAGCTCATAACAACTCTGTTACTTTTGACCTAAGCAGCATTCAAATCAGGGAGCTCGCTAACAAGCCACAGTTGTCTCCCTCACCACGCGGTCTTCGTGACATCAGTGGATAGGACAACTTGGAAGAAGAAGGCAGCTGGACTTTTCAGAACAGACTAAGGGCACTAGGTGCCCAAGACCAAGAAATTCAGCGGGATTTGGGCACCAGGTTCTAAAACGCTTTACCAACATGCTGAGATACCACTATCCCCAGGGCTAGTCCTTTATTATGTCCCCATTTACAATACTTGACCATTCTACCATTGATGAGCCTGGTCATTGGGTTGAATCAAATTGTATCCGAACTCTTGAATGCCAGGAGAGTTCATCAGTAATTCACTAGATCATAAGTTAAATGCACTGTGCAAATATTCTGTACTGGACAAATTAGGCTTGCATCAAACAGCAAAAAAGGGGCTTTTGATGCATCTGAGCCCTGGGCATAGGGGATATAGGGCCAGGAAGATCACAGCAAGTGTTATGGAACAAGGGTAGCTTGCCAGACACCAAAAGGGATTTTTACATAATTGCTCAAATATGCCTTAAATTTGCCATAAGACTACAAAGAGGTAACATGTACTCACAGTTCTTCCAGGGAAGTCAGATGTTCAAAAGCCTGAACATCTAAAATGGTGATCTTGTTATTGGAAAGATCCCTAGAGAAAGAGAACAGTGCAATGCAGCTTATTATCATGCAAATTCATTGTGTCTGTCTTCCACCATCAAGGCTTAGAAAAGACAGTCTCCAAACTCCATCCAGATTCCAGACAGAAAGTAAGTTCTTGGTGTATTAAAACGGAACAATCCTCCCAGCCAAAAATAACACCTTTCCCAGCTATAAAGCATCCGCTGCTCCAAGCTTTGCATTATGTGTCGATATGAATTAGGCCTATCACTACACAGAAAAATACCCCCATAACATTTTTAAAGTAAAATAATTACAGGCATGACAAATTTATTACTAATTCTGAGGCACCAGTTTGAAACCCAAGTCTAAAATATGCCTCATAAAGAAATTACTTTAAGGAATAATTTTGACAAAGTAGTTATTGAGTTAGACATAGAATTTTCTGTGGAACCTTCATGTAGTGGTGCCGGTGCCAAAGAACGGATAACTAATGACAGGAGTGATGCATTCAACTTCAGTACAAACGTCTTTTTTCTTTTTTAATGACTGCAGAACTTAGAAGAGGAGAAATAAGAAAATATTTTTTGTTAAAGTAAATTCAGGGGCCGTATTGAACTCTATATAAAGGAACACTGGGGAAATAACCATTTTAAACCCTTTCCTGTCTTACTAATAACCTGCACCTTATTCAAACTGGAACTGTTTCCACCCTCCCATTCACTTTACACTATTTATACTGTTCAATTTATGTCCTTTGTTTCACTGTCCTACCTAAGTGACATTTAAAAGTAAATAAACTAGTCAGTTTCCATTTCAGTTCCTGGTGAGTCTCATTTCTTACACCCTCACCCAGTGCTGCTAGGGAACTGCACCAGCAAGAAAAAGGTTAAGCAAAAAAAAGAAGAGAATCTTTGCAATTACGCTCTAAAAAATTAGCAAAAAACCCCTTACTCTCTCCTGCCATCTATCTCCACCCCCTGACAATTTACTATTTATATTAGGTTTTGCAACACAGGACAAAACCTAAATTGGGAGCCTAAAATACTTGACTGTGGCCCTTTAATATACTAATATAATACCAATAACATAGATAGCTGTCTAACAGTAAATACAATGGTTCTCCTAGCTGTTTGAATGCTGAACCAGCTACACCAGCAGGTTGAAAAGGGGATTGGAATAGGCACAATGGGCTGATCCTTTCAGGTGTCATGCACTTCCCTGACAGGTCTAGGCAGTTCTCCTAAGTTCTCCTCAGTTCCAGAGGTGACAGATAAAGAATAAAAATCAGAGCCTCTTTTTTTGTATGCTGAATTCTTTCCTAGAGTATTCCTTGCAATTTCCCTTTGCTGCCTCATCTCCGATTTCATTCGGCAAGGTCTAATCCTCGGGATGGATCATTCACCTGACACCTAAATTCGGTCTATATTTTTTTAACCAAACACACAAGGTAAATCACAATCCAAAATTCAACAATCCTCTCAAATAGCTATTACCAGCAGGAGAGTGAGTTTGTGTGTGGGGGGGGTGGAGGGTAAGAAAACCTGGATTTGTGCTGGAAATGGCCCAACTTGATGATCACTTTAGATAAGCTATTACCAGCAGGACAGTGGGGTGGGAGGAGGTATTGTTTCATGATCTCTGTGTGTATATAAAGTCTGCTGCAGTTTCCACGGTATGCATCCGATGAAGTGAGCTGTAGCTCACGAAAGCTCATGCTCAAATAAATTGGTTAGTCTCTAAGGTGCCACAAGTACTCCTTTTCTTTTTGCGAATACAGACTAACACGGCTGTTACTCTGAAACCTGTCAAATAGCAGACAGACAACTGTTCTGGAACCACAGGAATGTGGGGTTGTTGGGAGATTAGTGACGGGAATGCCTAACAGGGAAGGGGCATTTATTTGGGGAGTTACAGTATCTTTACCTGGACTTTCTCTGGGGGATTTTTCCTCCAAGCTAACAGCACGTTTAGAAGAAATTTCCAGCAGCCCTCTGAAGGGAACATGAGTGCTGCAAAATGACAATTAAGAAAAGCACAAAGGCAGAAGCCAACAGAGATGTTTGTCAAATCAATATGCATTTCCTTTGCTCAGCCTAGCCAGATAATAGCAGAAAATGAAGCATCCTTTGCTAAACTTTCACAAAGATGCATGAGCTGCACTCTGTGTAGGAGGTGTTTAACTTCCAGACATCAGAGTTACTTCCAAAACCATTTACGACTCCTACTCACAAGGCAAAAAAGATGAGAGTTTTGGAATTGGATCCCAGCTGCTCCAGTCAAGACAGGTTTAAGCCCTTCCCCATGGAGATGCTGTCTCATTTCTCTAGTTTATTTTCTTGGGTCTCTGCTTTGCACCTCTATCCCCACACGACCTATAATTATTGCACCACAATCTGATTCATTGAGGACAGGTAGAGATAGTTACAAGGGGGCTTTTGCATCGCTTGGGAATAAATTTAGTCTATACTTTCAAAAAAGTTTTACAAAACCTGATCGAAAAAGATAGCTTCATGAAGTTGAAAAAAATGAAAATAAGACTTTTGGGTGGATTTAAACCTTCTCCCTTCAGTGCTGGAGGCCTTGTACTGCCAATCTCAAATGTTCAAAAACTGCGAGTCAGGCCCCTGCAAAAATTGAAAGATTGATTTAAATATGATGCCATTTAAAAATATATATTTTTGGTTTCATTTGCCTCCTGGCTTTTGAGTCTTTAGGGGTCAAGTGTTCTTGCTTTTCTCCATAACTAAGAGAGCTGAAAACGTTTAAAATGAAAGCAGAGGTTCTCACATAATCACATGACTCCAGAGTCTGGAGCTTTAAGAAAAAACATCTAACAACATGATACGTGCAATAAAACACAGACTTTGACAACCCAGACCCAGCTGTGTTGTGCTGCTGTGGCAGAGAAAATGTGGAACTGACTATAAACAAAATGATGCTAAGATGAGCACAGCTCACCCATTCACCGAACTTGCCATTATGCAGGGAGGGTGAAATTCATCCTTGTGCAGCCAGCCAGCCCTATGGGCTAAGTGGGACTTAAGCGGCATATAGGCCTTGTGACGATCCCTCTGAACTGAAATTAATGTTACCAATAAAATTTGGGGTAACTCTTTTTTTTTGCATTCTGTGACCAGCTTCAATAATGAGTAAAATACCACCACCACCAAAAAATCAACCAATTCAACAACCGCAAAACAAAACAAAAAACCAGCATCAGTGGTGGAAAGTGACTTACATTTTTGAAACCCTTTTGCTTGTAGGACCCTAAAGCGCCCCTCCCCTCCCCGACCCCTTGTAACACAGGGATGGATGATATTTTTTAAATACAGGATTGTTATCTTGACCGTGTTCCTTAAACATGCTTTCAAAATACATTCCTCTCCTGGGCCCCTAGCACTCAAATGGTTAAATGTCTTCAGCTTCTCCTGAAACCACGTGAGGCTGGTTAGCTAGAGATTGGCCGCCTGCCACTTCAGTCACTTTCACCAGAATAGTCCTAGACTATTTAGTTGATTTCCCTTTGGCCTCTAGCCAAAACCGTTGCTAGTATTGGATATCCCTCTGACCCCCACCTATCTACTTGCTGCTACTGGACCCCAGGTAACCTACAGGAGAAAACAGCCAAGCTCTAAAGGATTTCTGTGCATAAACACTACATACCTTCAGTGAAAGGATGGGCTTGACGGCAAGCCAAGTCTTTAGCAAGCACCGTGTACCTTCTATGAGGGGTGCACACACAGTGGGTAATTAATTTCCTTGCAATAACAAGGAGACAGCTAGAGTACTTCTTTTTCAGTTCTCTCCTTTGAGATGTCTGGAAATGTCCCGTTTATGCTGTCAGACAGGACCTCAGGCACAGGGCAGAGGGAGATCGTGTTTCAGCCCTGACAGCTCCTACACGTTGTTCCCCAAAACTACAAACTGACATGTTGCCGTACAGTCGCGCCTTCAGAGTCAATGACTGGCCATTCAGAGGGCTGCCTGGGCCGCATCATGCAGAGAGGCAATGGCCTTGCCCGGCCTTGTCAGATTTGTGGATAACGTCATTGTCAAGGTGGGGGTTGCAGGTGGCATATGATACTTGCTGACATTCCTGTTCTCCCCTAATGTACCTGACAGATTTAGCTGGCTTCCTCTCTACTGTGCCCCAAACCTTACTATACTCCTGGCTTCCCCTCCATTATCCCCCACACCCTAGTGTCAGCTCAGGGCTCCTTTGGTGTTCCTCACACACAGTTCATTGCTTCAGGCTCTTTCAGGCCTCTGACAGGCCCCTGAGGGGAAGTGATTCACTCTGGGAAAGCAACGTGGCTCCTGCCCATCCATCTTCCAATGCTATTTCAGTGCTGAGGCCCTCCACCTCCTCTGTGAACGTTAATTAACGGAGCCCCTACAGACACCTCCCCTCCCTCAGGTAGTTGAGTATCATTCTCCTTGTTTGTCAAAGAGTAAACCTAGAGCACACAGTGATTCCGTGGCCAGCCCAAGGAATACAGCCGAAGAGCCCTGGCTCCCCAGGATTATTAAGATTCACTCTTGCCCTGGACCAAGACTGGAAATGATGATTCCTCCTGGCCTGCCCCATGAAAGGGCAGGGAGTCCAAAGAAGCTTCTCTCCACAGTCCATTGGGCACCTGGGCCAGTTCCAGACAAACTGCCCAGCATAAGCAACCATGCACAGCGTAACGCTGTGCTGGATTACAGCTCTGCCACCTCATAGTCCTTGATTATACCTCTCACATTGCAGCACGGGCAACAGATCCAAGCATGTCCAAGCATCTTTGACTCCAGAACCCCAGGCTTTTACCACCTGAGTTAAAAGATAGCTGCTTTAGCGAGCTCTGCCAGTAAGGCTTTTATCCTCCCTGTAGTCCTACCACTAGAGGGCATCACAATCCACGTACAAGCCAAAACATTATTCCCTCACGGGCTGCTGGTCATCCCATGGCTTCTCTGAGCCAACAATAGATTAAAATAATCTCCCTGACTTTAAGCAGCACCAGATCTCTTCTGTGCAAGGCCTGT